GAAAGAGTTAGAAAGGAAACAGAAAATTCCACCTCCCCATCTCCCCCAGTCCTGCCTAAATCAGAGCCAGAGCCCTTCCTAGGACATGAAATGGGTCCCAGGAGGCATCCCGAGACCTTTGCTGCTGCTGGTGGTACTATGGCAACAAGTGCTAATGCAAAACCCTAAGAAAAGTGCAGACAGAAACTCGGGAACAAATTATCTTCCTTTTTGTCTTGCACAGTCACTGAGGATGAGGGTGCATGGAGGGTGTGAGCTCTGCTCTGCCTCCATGGACCCAATTCATCAGCAGGGAATCGCACTTCGAGTCCTCCTGCCCCATTTGGTGTTGAAGAAGGGGGACAGAGAGAATCCCATCGCCTTTCTCACTGGGAGGCTTTCACAGGGAGCCGCTGGCTCGTGCCTCCAGACTGAGGAACCCAGGCTTGTGCCGTAAGGAGCCCGATGTTTTCCTGGGGTTTTAAATAGTGACATGAATCACTCTATCAGAAGAAGTTGGTGACAATCAGGTTTATTGCTATTTACCGTCCTAATTGGGCTGCATCTCCCACTGGCTTGATAGAGGAGGCAAATTTGATGCTATTCTGGAAGGATTTTGGGGAGTCAGCAGTAAAGGAGGGGACGAGAACGTGAGCTGCTGAGACGAGCCGGGAGCTCAATTCCTGGACTGACTCTGAGCTGCGAGCTCTGTCGCTGACTCTATTGATGCCGGCTGGCGGCTCCGGAGCTATTGCAGCTCCAGCCAACCTGCTGTGATTTCTGAATTCCCTTTTCCTTGTTCTTCCCTAAATGGAGCCACAACCCCCCTCTCGTGCTGCGATTGGATTCTGAGACCATCCATCAAGTGGCACTTTCTCATTTATTTCCTATCTACCTGTTCTGTCATTTAGGACAAAGTGGTGCGGTGTTAACACGGGTCCCATTTGTCAAACTGGAGTCGCTGGTGTAATTCCAGTCCTCTTGGCAAATTGATGGTGGTGAAATTTGTTTTACAGATGGGCTGTGCCCTAATAAGAACATCAGTTTCAGATGGGGTAAGCGGCTGAACTGACGGGTTTATCTAAACTCTGTTTCAGCCACACACCACAGGCGCCAAGAAACAGTAGAAGAGAAATGGCAGGCGTGTGACTGAAATCTGCTCAGCCTTGAACTCCAAATTAAAACAAAGCCTTGTTTCTGTCATCTGGGGGAAAAAAAAAGGAATTTTGTCAACACAGTTGTCTTGGCAACATTATAGTGATTGCCCGAGGTCTGCTTGGAGAGGCACGGTTTGTATCGGATGGGCTGAAGGGAAGAGGGATGAGGGACTTCATTAAATCACAGCAAAGTTTTGGTGCAGTTCTGCGTCCTCTAGCGTTGGTGCTCCATGGTAAGGAGTGTGCAGGATGCTGGTCTGAATAGAGAACAGAGCATTATTTCAGCTGGAAGGGACCTAGAATGATCCAACTGTTCACAAGGTGTGCCAGTGACTGCTCCTGCCAACAGGACCAGGCTTTCCTGGCTGTTAATTCCCTGGAGTGAGACAGTTGGGATGAATACAAAAGGAAGAGTAAGGAGCTGGATCAATGTGCATGTTGTGGGGCTTTAGGGCAGCTCCAGCCCAAAGATGTGGCCATGAGCAACCATGGATTGTTTGGCTTTCCAGAAAGCAACCCCATGATTAGAGGCAAATGAACCCTCTCAGGGAATGGACATGGATTTATTTATACTGGAATGCAAGCGGTTGCATTATTAACTGTTCTTTTACCAGTTATAGATGTGTTTTCAATGCAAACATCTGCGCCTTTCTGATGTGAGGGAGGTGAGGGGGTTTCCAGGACTGAGACCTCAACCATTCATCCTTTGGCAACATCCTTCTCGAGCCTGCTGCTTCCCGTGGCTGTATGAAGTGGTCCAGCAGCGATGCAGCATCGCTGGACACTGAACACTAGCACCAGGATGTTGCACAGATGGCAAAGTACCTCTTCTTTAATTCACTCCTAGGTGTAAATCAGGTTTATTGGGGATGAACAGACCACTGTGTCCAGGGGGAAACAGCCACTTCCCAGCATGGTGCACTGGGGATGGGAAGGCAGAAGCGGAGTGCATGGTTTGGCTGTGAAGGAAAAAGGGCTTGCTCCTTCCTGGGAGGATTTTGGCCAGCTTGGTGGGAGGTGGATAATTAGAGATAGCTGGGGGAGCATTGCCTATATAATGTCAGGATTAAAAGGCCATGTACACAGATACATCGTGGCGTCGGTCCGAGCTGAGCGGGAGCTGAGCACAGAACTGCTGGCATGGGCAAGCTGGCTGCCACTGAATCACTTTAATGCTCCATTTTCGGCTGCACAAACACACAGGTTTACAGTAAATGTGCATATGTTGCATCCCATCCTTCCTCATCAGATCCACTGGTGCTCCATGGGTCGTAAAAATTAAACGGGCATAAATCCATCAGCCCTGGGGTTCTTCCTTGAGCACTATAAATCCCACCAAAACTAATTAAATAGGACAATGGTGTCCATTTAAAGTTGGCACATAGAAATATAAGCCATTACCACAGCAAAGACAAGGCTCAAAATCGATTTGTGAGGGCAAGGGCAACCCAAGTGCCCACGCTGAGGGCTGCTCTTGGGTACATCCTAACTCAGCATCACTCGCAGCCCCTGGCTGGGAGAGTTAAGAGATTGTGTTAAGCTCCTAAGATTGATTTCTCCTCCGCTTTGCTTCCCAAATCAAATCAGCCAATTAACATATGTGCTGGAGTTTGTTGCTTGAAATGTTATCTGGCCGCTCTAAAAGCTTCTTGTTATTGCTTTTCGTATTGCTTGTATGTTAAGCAAATGCTTTCATCACTGCCATAGGGGAACCTCTTCTGCTGCTCTTCCCTGCACTGATGGAACCCTCCAGACAGGCGTTGTCAGTGTGGACTGGTGTTGAGATCAGGGTTAACGCTTGTCTGGGGTGCTACAAGTTTTGCTCTACAGGGTTTGTTGCTGTTCTGTGATTTGAGTTGGGTTTATGCTTTGGAAAGGGGAAGGAAACTGAGGCAGGGAGTGGGATGGCAATGACCGTGGATGTTTATCAGCAAGGAGCTGAACCTGGCTTTGCCAGTGGTTTTGGGCACCTCCTGTGTCTTTCAGGGGTGAAATAAGTGTTTCCACCCGACTAGCACTGTGAAACCCTGCTCACCACACTGCTCCCATGGGTTTTGAGGGCTTAGAACTGACATCTCCAGTAGCTTCACATGTACGACCTGGAAATGTGCTACTGCTCTTGGGTTCATAAATCAGACTCTTAATGATGCTCATAGGGAGAACTGAGCTCGTCAGAGCTGAGCAGAGCTCATCCGTGCTGCGAACAGCCCCCATCTCCCCATCACTTCACATGGGGTTGAATCTTTCAGCTTCCCTCTGGGAATGGACCTGCCAACGTACTGGGACACACTGGGAGGTGGGCATGGGGAAGCTCTCACCCATGCTGGGTGTGTGGGGAAGGCTTCCCTGTGCTTCCAGGTGACTCCTGAGCTTCTCCCTCCCATCTTCAGTCTGAGTTTGTGCAAGATTTTGTAGCTGGAAAATGGTTGGACTCAATGATCTGAACATTATTTCCCAGCCTAAATGATTCTAAGTAAATGCTTGTCCAACTCTTCCCAAAGGAACAGAAGGGTCAGGAGCTTAGGGACAGGTTGTCCTCCATCTCCTTTCCTGCCCTCTGCTTTCTGGAGTTTTTCTGACCTTCTTTACTCTGGGAGGCAACTGAGGAAAAGGAAGGAACAAGTCACCCTTCTTTTCTATAGGGACATGCTGGTCACCTCCAACTCGGGGAAAGCCCTGGCTGGGTGCTTGGGTACCACCTGGAATCTACTCTTTTCTCCTCTTCCCTCTTGTAAGGCAGGTTTTGGGGATGGGGAATGATGTGCACCAGCAATAATTCTGTTCCCTGGGATCCTGCAGGCTGGAGCTGCATATAGGTAACAGACTATAAGCTTTGCTATAAGGCTTTGGAGAGAAGAACTGGAAATTGGCCTGGCAGGAGAAGAGTGAGGGACTGTAAATACTTTGCTATTTGGGGTGGATGAGGCTTAGCATTGCCCCCCTCCCCTGCAAGCACTGCAGTAAGGAGTTGAGACAAGCTGAAAGGCATCATCTCCTCCAGCTGCTGAGCATCTGCCCCCAGGAACTGCTGGGGATGCCTGGTGGTGACAGGGGCTTGCTGTGAGCAGTCAGTCAGGTGGCCCTGGCCCCTTCGATACGGGCATGGTGTGAACACAGACTTCACCCACTGCGAGACGTTCGTAGCTGGTGACTAATCCAGAGCTAACAACAGGGCTGTCCCCTTGAAGGAAGTTGGCAGTACTGCACTCCCATGGTACTTACACTGCTTTCAAAGCCTGGTTCATCCTTCTGGTGCCAGCTAATGCATTAGAAATGAGTCCTGTTCTTGGTGGACCTGCTCGGACGTCAGGGTGATGGTGACCTGGTTTGTAATGGGGACCAGTGGAGGGCCTGAGGGTTGCAGGGCATGTGTTGGTGGGCTGCCAGGAGCAGGGAGAGGAAAGGACAGGGCTTGGTAGGGAGAAGGTCTGTCGGGTCCTGTGGTTTGGCACCGGTACCAAAGAGCCTGCAACAGAGAGGGAAGGCTTAGCTGGGATCCTGTTGCGTCCAGTGCTGCCGGTGAAAGCCGGCTCTGGCTGGGGAAGGGATGGAGGGGATGGAAAGGAAGGAGAAGAGGAACAGGACCTTCCCCATAGAAGCAGATCTCTGCTTCCCTCCATCCTCCCCGGGTATGTGACCTTCCCTGCCCAGATGACCTGAGGACCTGGAGATGTCCTGCTCTGCTGCCCCAAGCCCTGTGAGGTGGCACAAGCCATCGCTGCTGGCAGAGGTCCTGCTCCAGTCACCTCTGCCCAGGGCCACTGGTGGGAAGTCACTGGGCAATTAGGGCTTATGTCACCTGGGTTAATTGGCCCTTGAAGAGGTGACTCCCCATTGACCCACTCAGGTGACATTTACCCTTTGTACATTACTGCTGCTCTGCAGGGATGAGTAATGGCAGGAGAAGGGCAATAGGGGTTAAATCCATCAGCCTGGGTTATCGCTCTCTAATTGCTCTACTCTTTACTTGCCTGTAGAAATCCAGTCTGGGGTCAGCAGCCTTCATCACAGGGGGATTAAAATGCTCAAGGGAGTTAATGCCAGGGCTGGTGTCCCTGCCCTGCTCCACAGATCCCTGTCTTTCCCATCTGGGAGCTGAAGGGAGCGCCTGGAAGAGGGCGGCTCCATGTCTGAAAGTTCAGATGCTGCCCTGAATGTGCTGTCTCTGGGCGACAGGAGAGCGTTTGATTTGGCACCCCAGTGCCTCCAGCCTGCAGATCTCGTGCCCTCTGTTCTCTGCCCAAAATGCAGATTTAAAAAGGAAAAGAAGGCATCTGCCTTTCAGTGCACTGCTAAATGTCAGGGCACGGTCCCAGGGAGACACGTTCTCCAGAGCACCTAAGAAACAGGAGGGGGATGCAGAGAATGGGGTTTCAGAGCTGAAGTTAGCGAATGCGAGCAGTGGCGTGTAGGAACCAGGGTCTCATCAGGAGCCAATGAGACGTGGCTCCTCAAGCCACACATGGGCAGTAGAAAGTCATGCCCCGATGCACGAGGTTCCCCCGAGAGCTGGGTAAACTCCCTGCGTGTTCTCCTCTAGATGGGTTTCCATCAGCTGAAGCACTTTGTCTGGGAGCTGCTCAGAGCTGGATGGCAGGGCTGGGCACGGGGGAGTGCGAGCTTTGCCTCCTGTGTCCCTGTGCCAGGCTTGAAATACGGGCAGAGGAGGAGCTGAGCCAGGCTGAGGCTGTGCTCCCTGTAGCCAGGCTTAAAAGCCCTCGCCGTTCCGAGTGCTTCGCTGTAACTCATGGTAAGGGGAGCTGAATGTCTTCTACTGCCTTGGTTTGCTTGTGGCTGCTACTAGAAAGCGTAAAACCCTCTTGGTGTGACAGCGCCTATGGAACGGGTTTCATCCTGGGTAGCAACGCACATCCCTGTCTGCTCACCCCGATCCACCTCAACCATCAGGTTGTTGGATACTCTGGAAAACACACGGAGAGGACATCCTCGGCCGGCACAGGAGCCGGTCTCCATGCACCTCTGCCCATTTGCCAGACTGGTCGACATGGTCAAAGCAGGGAGGGTCCGAGCCCGGCTCCCCCTCCCCGGGCTCTCCCTGCACTTCCCCATCCTCTGCCGAGCAGATGGTGCTGCTTTTGGCAGGGAGGGGTGGAGGAAACAAAGCCCAGAGCAATGGGGAGCTGCAGCCTGGCTCCAGCGCGCAGCCTGAGGGGTGGCATGTGTGGGGCCGGGCTGATGCACGGGGGTGTCTGTGGAGCGCCGAGCCCCGTGCTGCGCCGGCACTTAACGCCTGCCCTGTCTCACTTCTCTTTCTCCTTTGTTGTTTGCTTCTCTTTTCCTTTCCAGCTGAAGAGGCTCGTGTACTGCTTTCAGGGATGTCGGTGAAGTGAGCGGGCTGCATCCCCTCCTCTGCCCAGCGCAGGACCAGAGGCTGACTGGAAGCTGGCATGCTGTCCCCTCCAGCCCCTGCGATGCCCAGCCCTGCTCCTAGCCTTGCTTTCCACCGGTGATACACCCTGCTTTCCCCTGGCTGCATTACAGAGACAGGCAGCAGTGAGTATGCTGAAGAAAACCAGCCTGCAGCCAAAGCCCAGAGGAGTTCTGCAGTGAAGCTGGTTGCTCAAAAGCCAAAGAGTTGTCCCTTCCCCACCTTGGTGTGGACAAGCATCTCAGACAGTGAATTCCTCTGTGCTCCACGAGTGCCAAGGTCCTGGTCTGCAGGCTCGAAAAAGAGGGGCTGCCATGGAAGAGAATGTGTTCAGCGTGCAGCAGATACAGCCCAACGTCATCTCGGTGAGGCTCTTCAAGCGCAAGGTGGGCGGCCTCGGCTTCTTGGTGAAGGAGCGCGTCAGCAAGCCACCCGTCATCATCTCCGACCTGATCCGGGGAGGGGCTGCCGAGCAGAGTGGCCTCATCCAGGCTGGGGACATCATTTTAGCCGTCAATAGCAAACCGCTGGTGGACGTGAGCTATGAGACCGCGCTGGAGACGCTGAGAAGCATCGCCTCCGAGACCTACGTGGTCCTCATCCTGCGGGGTCCCGAGGGCTTCACCACTCACCTGGAGACCACTTTTGCAGGCGACGGGACACCAAAAACCATCCGCGTCACCAGACCCCTCTGCCCGGCTCCGAAGGCGGTTGACTTGTCCAACCCAAGCCTGCACAGCAAAGAGCAGCCGCTGCCAGCAGCCGACCGCACCATGGGCTCCCTGTGGACAAGGGAGATTGGGCAGGAGGTGGAGCCGATGGTCCATGTTAACGGCGTCGTTACCGGTGGCAAAGGGCAGGGCAGTGGAAAGGGGAAGGCGGGTGCTTGTAGCTACCCTTGCCTCAACGGTGGCGTGGAAGACAATGAACTTCTCAAAGAAATCGAGCCTGTCCTGGATCTCCTGAAGAGCAGCAGTAAGGACAGCGATGGAGATGCACCCTCCAAGGTAGAGACAAGAGATATAGAAGTCCAGGTAGACTGGTAGGTCCCTAAATTACTTTTTTACCTTTGGTGGAATGTGGTGGTTTTGGCTACCCAACGCGGATAGTTTGGGTGTTGGTGAGCAGCTCTCCACAAATGGCTGCTGTCTGACACAGCAGGACGGAGGTGGAGAGGAAGGGATGGAGAAAAAGGGGGAAACAGTTGATGAAGGGAAGATAAAAGTAATGGAAGATTTGGAATAGGTGGTGGGAGAAAGATGTAAGCTTGGGAAATGGGGTAGACAGCAAGAGTTGTGTCTCATGGAAAGCTGAGCTGTGTGATGTGGTGGGTCACCGGCTGGACTGGGATTTGTTTCTGTTCCATGTTCTTGATCTCATTTGTTTTAAGCTGAAACACAATCCCGTGCCTCAGTTTCCCCACCTGCCAAATAAGATTCATGGTGTCGTCTGTCCTTGCTGTGCTGCGTTAGAGCTCTCCAGTTGAAATCTGCTATTGATTAGCTGCCAGAGAGGGAGAAGGAAGGTCAGACTGGCAGGGTGTGATGCTTCCCAAGAGAAACGAGTTTCAAAACCTTCTGTGCTTTTGGCAGTCAGGATCTTGCTTGGGGAAGGGAGAGGGGAGCCCTGGTCCAGCTCCAGCTGAAGCCAAGGGGACCTCAGTACAAGGCCAGTGGGACCTGCCTCGGGTGCTCTATTTCCTCAAAGGAGGGAGATGTTTCCCACCAAGAGCTCAGAAATGGCCATCTCTTGTTGACACCCAACAGCGGAGCTGCCTGCTCATCCTCTCCGCTCTTTCTAGATCAAGCTATTTCTACACATGTATGCATGTATCACAAAGATGGGGACGTGTGTGCTTGCCCCATAGCTTCTTGAAAAGGGTGAAGTCCCATTGTGCGGGTGGAACTGCTTCATTTCCGATACCTATTTCTGCAAGGGGCCATGTGTGTGGTGGTGTCCCCCTGATCTTCCTCAGCATTATGTAGCCCATCGCTGCGGAGCCGAAGCAGCTCCCTGTGGCCCTTCATGCTTTGCAGAAGCTGTTGTTAGTGCCTGTTTCTATTTCTTGGTGCCAGCTCTCTTGCCTCCTGGCTGTTTGTTAGCAATGATAGGTTGCCTTCTCCTGTTGCCTTTCCCCAGGTCCCTGAACACATTTCAGCAGTGTCAAGTGCTGCGGCAGGCTGTGGCTGCCCTCGCTTATTGACTGGCTGTGAAAGGTTCGCCTAAGCTGGTATCTCGGTCCAGTGACAGAGGGATTTGTAATTCCAAGCTCCCCTCCTGCACCTGCTTCCTTTGGGAGGGGGAAAGATTGTATTCATCCATTCTATCGGCTACAACAAGAGGGGAAAGGCAGCGCTGGGGAGGAGCAGGACCCCTGTGGTGCACAGCTCGGTGCCAGCGCCCAGGCTGAGCTCCCGAAGGCTCCCGTCGCAAACCAACACCCACGCTGTGTGTTTCCCATCTTCATTCCTGCTTTCCCAAATGATGCGTTATCCCTTGCGGAGGGCACGGCTGCTCAAAGCCCGTTGGGGTGGTCACACTGAGTCAGAGGGAAAACAAATCTGCTCAGCTCGGTGCCCGCAGCGGGTGGCAGACGTCTGGGAAGAGCAATGGGACAGGGTATGCTGGGGACACCCTCCCCTGCCATCCCTTATCAGGTCTTGTACTTTTGGCTGTTTCAGAAGCAGTGGGGTTTGGTCTCTGCTGTGCAATAGGAGGTAATTTAACCCCTGAGCCCAGCACTCTCTTTGGAAGGCTGAGGGTTACCTCCTCAGACTGCACATCCTTTAATCCAGTATCAAGCCATCCCGGGGGGACCTGGTTTTACCAAACAAAGGATTGGAGCCTTGACAGGGCTGTGCTTCATACAGGTCCAGAGAATGTGCAGGGGTGCTTAAAGATCCCCTCTCTGCCTCTGGGTTTGCTTAGGCTGCTGTAGGGGGGGTCGCAGGCCAGCAAATCCCCCAGGGGACACAATCCCAAGCGCTGATACCAGGTACAGCCTCACCCTTCAAACTGTGTCCCCATCCCACCAGCTGCAGGTCTCTGAGGGAATTCTGCTCCAGCTGGGAGAGGGAGGAAAATTGTGTGTTTTTTCCTTTGAGGAGTCGCTTTTCCTCAGAGATTAAACCCAAACACTTTGAATTCACTTAAACTGAAAGATGCGAAACCAGGAGGAATATCAGCAAAGTGGGTACTCCACAAGGCTGCACTCATTCTTTTCCGGTACCATTTAAAGAAGTATCTCTATAATCTATGTACCTTGGGACTGAAAATCCACTTTTCAGTCAAAATCAGTCTTCTGCACAATGAAAAGCTGCAGCCTGCCTCTTGCGGTAGGACTCTATGGATGAGGAGACCTGGGCTGGAGCAGAGACATGAGGAAGGAGATTTACTGCAGGGAAAACTTGTTGAGAGCCGCTCTGCCAGGTAAAGGGCATTTTCCAGCCACCTTTCCTCCCACTGCTGCGACGGGCTGGAGGTGATTCATCTCCTTGGCTTGGTCTCAGGCAGAGCTGGGGCATCCTGAAGGTCTTCTGCAGTGAAAGTTTTCTTGGTCCATAGAAGGAGTGCAGGAAGGTCAGGGAGCAATGGGGAGCGGATAACTGGGGGGACTGTTGCTTGATGCCAAAGAGATGTCCGAAAGAATAAGCGAGCCTTGTCAGATTGATGCAGCCCTCGTGCCGTAGGCTCTGACTTCTGCAGGTTGGGGGGGAGCATCAGGGCTGGCATTAATCAAAACAAGAACAGAGCTCTGCCAGGACAACAGGAGGGTGTAAAACCTTGAGCTTGACACCTCCAGCCTGGACCACTTGGCCATTGATCCATTGGTCTCGGTACCAATCCTGTTCTGTCTCTCTCTTTGCCTGGTGCTGAGCTTCACAGCCTGCAGCACTTTGTCAAACTGAATTTGGCTTGCAGAGCCATGACAGCTTTCCTAGGGCAGAAAGGAATGGTGCATGTCCGAGGCTTTCACATGGAGCCAAACACTTCTTCAAGGTGGGCTTTGCCAAATGTGGTTCTAACTACACCTGATGCTTCAGGCTTCCAACCCATGTCTCTAATGTTAATTCCAAAGAAAACTGGGAACGGTGAAGTTTGCACTGGGGGGGGAAGTCAGTTCTTCTCCATCTGCTGCACCCATGCTCTGCATGTCCCTGCAATGACCTGGCTTTTGCTCCAGCTGTAAGGTGCCCTGTATCCATGGTGCGTGCCCTTGGGATGGGCTGTGACCACGGCTCAATGTCTGCTACTTGGCTCAAGCCATCTGCAATGAAGTCAATCACAGCACAGAGCATGGAAGTGGGGTGCAAGGTATGATGAGAGCTGGCATTTCTGCCATGAGCCTCACCGTGGGCTAGAAAACAAAAATAGAGTTTGATTCACTCACTGCCAGCTAAGCCAGGTCTGTTTTCCCTCTGCGCTCTAGGGAGATTGTCATGTCCCATCTTCCCTCCCTCTCTCCCCTCCGCTCAGTTGCCAGTATTTATTTTCCTTCTCAGGTCTATTCCATAACATGAACAGCATGATGGAAACATGGCAGGTCGGGTCCAAAAAGCAGCATCAGCAGCCCCGAGAGGGAGCAGCGTGCTGAGAGCAGGAATCCTGTTTATGAAGGTTTCAGGCTCCATCCTGCACTGGAACAAACCCCATAATTTTGCAGTTCTCCAAGAGAAAATTCTCTTCCTCCCACCTCCTTCGCTGCCGCCAAAATCTCTTTGTGTGCCTCAAAACATTTCATTTGCATTTCTGATGTCTTCATTATTCTGTACTTGGACACGAGAACTTGAAAACCTCTGCAATGAAAAGGCTCCCTGAAACTCTCATGTCATTGCCATGCTGCAAAGTGGAGAAGGAGGAAGCTTTGCCTGTGAATAACCCTCCCCTTCTCCCTCGGTGGATCCTTCTTCCTCGTCACTCTGACTACATCAGTCTAATCCAAAGAGGCATTTTGTGCCCAGTGTCAGCATATTCCACCCAAATACACCCCCGTGGGGCCTTCTCAGACCAGTCTCCAAGGCGCCCTTCACACACTCGGCCCCTGTGCTGATGTACTTTCATCCTATGGGGTGCCATACTCTCCTTGTACACGGTCCCAGCAGACAAACCCACATCCCATGTGCCCTCCTGGCAGACCTAAACTGTGTTTGGCCTCCAAAGAAGATGCTGAAGCTGGAATGCCCCAGGGCTCTTTGGGCATGGCTGGGAAGGGACGAGCGTGGTGGTTGTAGGTTGCATCTGACACCGGCTGATGAATGTTGAACAATGCTGATGGGACTTTGGGATGACTTGGGTCTGTTCCAGGTCTTTCTGTGTCAATGCCTACTCCAATGGCATTTACCAACCTCATATTTCACAGGTCTCTCCCCAGAGCTGCTCTCTGTGGCTTGCTATGCTCATTAGTCCCTAATCACAGCACTGGGCACAGCCCAGCAATGCTCTGACCTTCCAGGGCACAAGACCTCCTTCAAGCCATGCCATGTACTTGTGGGTGAGGCTTCTCTTCTCTTCCCTTGGTGCTGTTCAAGCTCCCCTTTCTCGTTTAGGAAGAGGTTTCTTGCTTTGGTTGCTCTGCAATTGTCTGCTCAGGGCATATTGCCCCTTTGGGAGTTATTTCTGCTTCCAACATTCCCACTTCTTCCGGAGCTCTGCTCCATCTTCTGCACCCCGCAAATCCCAGGTCCTGCCCAAGCACTTCTCCTGCCTCTCACTCAGATGGGTGCTGTTGTGGCAGACCTTGCTTTAACCCTCGAGGTGAGGAGTCTGCAGCAGCAAGCTTTCACAGCCTGGTTTGGGTTGGAAGGGACCTTAAAGCTCCTCCAGCTCCAACCCCTGCCACGGGCAGGGACACCTTCCACTAGAGCAGCTTGCTCCAAGCCCCTGTGTCCAACCTGGCCTTGAACACTGCCAGGGATGGGGCAGCCACAGCTTCTCTGGGCACCCTGTGCCAGCGCCTCAGCACCCTCACAGGGAAGAGCTTCTGCCTCAGAGCTCAGCTCAGTCTCCCCTCTGGTAGGTTAAAGCCATTCCCCTTGGCCTGTCCCTACAGGCCCTTGTCCAAAGCCCCTCTCCAGCTTTTTTGTCAACCCCTTTTAGGTATCCAGATTTTCCAGTGTTACAGACTGTGAGCTGCCAAAGGAGTACGCTTGCAAGGGGATATTAACTTCTGAGGATGCAGTGCCCTTTGGAGTATGTTTTTCTGTGGGGCAAAATAAAGGTGAGGCAATAGGTTTTTACCCCAGCCTCTTAGCACTGGATGGAGGAGCAATGTGCAGTGCAGCTTGGCAGCCATCTCCAGCGACACACCAGGAGATGAGCAGAAAGCAAGATAAAGGTATTTCTCTCCCAAAGCTCACACGAAGCAAGGTGTGCACGTTTGAGCTTCCCAAGCTCAAGTGTAGGGTTTTCAGCCCCATGGACAAGGGTTTGGGGTGAGTCCATCCCCATGGTCACAGCAGAGTGCTGCTATTGGCATCATGGCACAACAGCTGTCATCCCAAGTGTGGACAGCAGCATCCTTATCTGTTCACCCAAACGGGCCCTGGGGATTGCAGCAGCCAGCAGTATCTCTGCCTGGGAAATCAGAGAGATTCTTCTGCCAGGCAAATTCAAAGGAGCAAAGTGACAAACTTTCTTTTTTTTTGCTCATTATTTTTCCAGTTTCCTTTTTGGAAAAGCTTTGGAGGGATTTCAGAAACGGCTGCCTCAGCAGCATCACTCCAAGCACTGCAACATCATCAAATTAGTCAAAAGCAAACAGTGGTGCCTCTCATTTCTCCCAACAGCCAGATGCTCTTCCCGAGGTGAGGCAGCATCCACGGCTCTGCCTTTGCACCAGCGGGGGAGGGCAGGATTCCTCTTGCTTTTTTTAAGTAACAGATTTTGCTTTTGGAACAAAAGACAACTTCAAACGCGGTCCTTTCCCAGAAACCTGCTCTGAACCCAGAGGCCTTGCTGATAGCATGTAATAGACCTGGCAGCAGGTCAGAGAGGGATCTCGGGAACCGGGATCTGGCCTTTGGGAGAGTTCAAACACGTACCTCCAAGGACACATCTTCAGCATTGCCTCCAGTGCCTCAAAGACTATAAAGGGGTGATTTTAATGTCTCCAAGGGCAAGCTCCCTTCTTCCCTGCGTGGCTGCAGACAGGGCTGTTTCCATGGCAGCTCCCTGTAGGGGTCCAACCCGGCTGCCTTGGGGGAACTGCATCCTCCCCATTGCCTACCAGGAACCCATGAGAATGGCCCTTTGGGCTCTCCTGTTGATAAAGTGCTTTTGGAAACGTTATCTGGAGACTGAGCTCGGGCAAGTGTTTTGGCCATTCTGCCCCCCTCCTTGACTATGTGAGCAGCATCCTCATGGGAATAGGGCAGGTCACCCTGTGTCTCTTCTGGGCAGTGGGGAAGCCAAGTCAAGAGAGGAAAATAACTTACCCCAAAGATCCTGATCCTGTCTGACCTCACAAACACAAACCAGGCAGGAAATACCTGTAAAATGAAGGAATTGATCAGTTTTATGTCTTTTTCCCATCTGGGCTAGGTCTGGGGTGAGGCTGTGGCTGCTCTGAATGGGCTTTTCTCTTTGTCTCTCTCCAAAAGACAGAGCTGGATGCTTCTGGGCAGCCTCATCTGTGACAGGTCTACCCTAGCTCAGCACAGGGGCATGCACTCGTGGTCACAGCAGCTCATCAAGAACAGCACTACACAAGGCTCTCTGCCCCTGTGGCAAACACACAATGGGATGTGGAACATTTGCTCCTGAGCATTCAGCCTTTAATGCCCACCCGGACTTCGCTGCTCCTCAGGATGATGCGTCTCTCTGTCGGGTGATGCTCAAGGCCAGTGAATGGGAACGGGGCCCTGCTCCAGTAATACTTGTAATACACAAAGTAGCCAACTACAGCGATGACTTAATTCAAGCATCTGGTCCTTTCCCCTGCAGTTGGCTCAGGCTGCAGCATTTATGGCTTTGCTGGTGTGCAGACAATGAGATTCCGCATGCTGCCTCCCAGCCGAGACCTCCGGCTGCTGCTGCTGCCGATTGATGGATTCCTCTCCAAGGTTCCCTCGTGTCATCAAACACCCGTTTGGACAGGCTTTAAACAGGCAAACACCTTCCTGGAAACAGCAGGTTGTGCCAGGCGCCTGCAGGCATGTGCTCAGTGTCATTCTGGAGGTGCCTGTGGGATACCTGGCACGCTGGGGTCTGTCTGCCCAAGCATCTCCTGGCTGCATAGAGGCAAAGGCTGTGCCCCTGGAGAGGCACTGTGTTCCTCCTGGAAGCAGATTCCCTGTGCCAAGTCCCCGGCACCAGTAAAACAAAGTTATTTCTTCTATTGCCTTAGGGATTTAGTGCTTGTGTCTTGATTTCTTGATGGACGTTGTGAATGCTCCATCCCTGGCAGTCTTCAGGGCCAGGTTGGACAAGGTCTTGGGTGACGTGGCCTAGTGTGGGGTGTCCCTGCCCATGGCAGGGGGTTGGAACTGGGTGATTTTAAGGCTCTTTCCAAGCCAAACCATTCAATGAATCTTTAGTTCTATGATTTTGGGCCAGTTACAGGGAGGACAACTTCGTGAGTGCTTGTAGTGTTGTAGCATCAGCTACAAGAGATGGCTCATGTATGCCCATCATTTCATGTGCTTACTAGCTTGGTGTTGACCTGCCTTCACTCTCCTAGATATGATGGGAGAGAAGGTATGGATGGGCAGCCATGGAAATTGGTATTCTCTGGGATATTTAGTAGCTGGCCTTAACTTCGAGGGAAAAGCCAGATTTGCTGAATGTTCATCCTGCTAATTCCATGTCTTGCTGCTGGGAATTCTCTAGATGGAGGTAAGCTGGATGTGCCAAGAGACCCTCAAACCTCCCCTTTGGATGGGCTGGTAGAGGGCAGAGTGGGTACACGGCTGTCCCCAGCCCTGGGGGGCCTGCATGGCTGTCGAGTGCTCCCGGCAGTGCCTCCACCGTGCAGCAGAGAGCCAGGACCTGTTGTCTTTGGCTGTGGTTGTGTGGTGCAATGGGTGGGGTTTCTTGTGCTTTATCTGATTGAAACCCTTCCATGTATTCGCAGCAGCCAAGTCACAAAAGAACAGCTTTCAGGGCTTGGGGGGGGCTAGAAAACCCAGTAGAAGCTGTCTCTATGGCTCTGTACCTCCCTGCTTGCATCAAGCTGGCCACTATCACCCTAAGGCAGCCGTTGTTTGGAAGGTATCCAGGAGCTGAGTGTAATATTTTGGCAGCTGAAAATTGCTCTGTAAAAGCAGAAAACATACAGAAAATCTAGTTCACAGGGAGATCATCTTCAAGTGAAGCGTTTCCTTTAAACTGTTCCTAAAGATGCGAACTGGGGGGCAAGGAGGACTCTGAAATGGAATTTGTGTTGTAAGTATTGTGTCTTCCTGTGACGGTATCAAAAGGCTGAGTTGGTGTGAATTATGCCCTGAGTGTGAGTGTCCTACTTTGGTCGGTGCCCAAAGCCCACCATCATTAATGGGAAGGGTCATTATTGACTTCAGTGGGCATCTAGAAGACTTGCAAGAACTGACAGCAGGAGCAAAGCAATTGCCAGAGCACATTACCTCAATGGTCTGTTGAGCAAGGGCAGGGTGGCTGCGAGCTGTAGGGCTGTAGCCATCCTGGTCTGTGGCCCGTGCAGTTAAACCCATGGTGCTCCTTCCCACGTGTGGCCTCACCAGAGTGGTTGGCATCTTCAGTGCAGATGCCACAGCTTCCTTTCTCTGACTATCCTGTCTCTAAACCCCATTTGTTTTTCTCCTTCGTGCAGGCTCATATGGCAGTGGTTTTCCATCACCTGCTTCGATGGCATTTAACAGCCTCCCTGACATCCCATGGTACATTCCCCAGGCAAGACGTGCGTGGTAGACTGTGGGCACCGTGAGTTACGCCAGCTCACGCTGGGGGTGTCCTCAGTCCCCCAGCCTTACCAACATCCTCTGTGGAGGCAATCCATCAGTTTGCTTAAGGAAAATCGCTTGCGCTCACCAGCCTTTGCAGCATCTCTAAAGGTCAGGAAGAAGAGAGATTGCTGTCTCTTCCTCCTGGGAGCCACCTATTTTATCTTGGCTTATTTTTTTCTCTCTTTGCTCATAAACACCAGCTGGTTTCGCTATGAGGTTTCACCATGAGACTTTGCAGCTGCAAGCGCGTGCGGCTCTCCTTCCCCCAGCGCCATGCTTGCTTTCACAGGGCTCCAACTTGGTTTCAGGGCGCAAAGGCTCCGGTGTGTAGAGGCAGTGTCAGGCAGGGGTTTCCTGTTGTTTTGCAAGCACTGTGCTTGCCTGTGCAGCAGGATTTCTGCTGTGCTTGGATTGCCTTCGCTGCGGTGATTCATCGCCTTGGCCGAGGCAGAGCATTTCCTCCCCTCCTGCGGGGCGATGCGCGAGGTTTTGCTCCTTCGTGGGAAACAGCTGGAGCAGATCCTGGAGATACCACTCCGGGACCTGGCCCATGGTCCCGGCACCCAGCCACCCTCCAGCCCGCTGACCCCAATGGTTTTTAACCCTTCAGTTTCAGGGAAGGGGAAAACAAGCTGCAGAAAGCTTTACCAGCCGGGATGGAGAACGACCGTGTCCTCGGTGACCTGTGGGGAAAGAGCAACGTGCCTGTGGTCCTGAACAACCCCTACTCCGAAGCAGAGCAGGTAAGAGCCCATGGTTTGTGCTGGTTTGGGTGGGAAAAGGGTTTGGGGGTACATAACCCATCCTGGTGGGCTCTCACACCACAGAGAACATGCAAGGACTACATGTGCTACCCTGAAGGCCTTTGATCCCAAGAGCTGCAGTTGATGGAGCATAGAGACCGTTTGAATGAAGCCGAATTCCCTGTGGTGTAAGCAGGGTATAGGTTACTGGAGAATGATGCTCTTCATCCAGAGGGTCAGACTGGGATGGGAGCACAGGGACCAGGACTTTGACACCTCCCTTGGGACTGTTGTCTGTCTTTGCGGCTAAGAGCCAAGTTGCGTCGTTACAGTCGTTTTGATTCACATGATGGTAATTCGATAGAGCACTTCAGATAATGTGCTCGATGGTGCCTTTTCATCTCCTCACATTCCACAGGCATAAATTCTCAGGCTTCCCTGTCAAAAGGGGATTAGGTCTCCGTCTGTAGCAAAGCCAGAGACGTAAAGGCAGACCCTGCCAGGCCAGAAGGATCACCTTGGGAAAAGCATGACGTGTGTGAGCATTGCCAAGCATGTTCAGGCAAACGTGTCTCCCTGATGGGATTAATCAGCACCAGGGCAGGACACGGTGACCAGTCTGAGGACCACTTTGATGCAATGTTCACGTCCACTTTTTGCGGCACTCACAGTGCTGGAGACCCCCTGTGAAGGTGTTGATGAACATGACGGAAGCTGAGATACTCCTGTCCATGGCAGGCTTGCTGCATGGCTTTAACCAACTTGGTTGGATGCTTAGATGCAGTTGGGAGCTTATTTCCACCTTGCCTTGGCTGTAGCTCAGGGTTGTGGCCAGGTCTTCCAGCAGCATAAACAACTTTATGGTGGTTATCATCCTACACACAGCTGGGTGTATCCAAGCGCTGCATCACCCTTTGCTCAGCTGTTGGAGAGATGTCCCTGGGCAGCCCCATGTCCCAACCGCATGGTTAATGCACTGTGGCAGGTATCACGAGCCCATCTTGCCCAAGGACAGGTCACAGCTCTGGTCCCTTTGCCCCAGCTCTGGAAAGACACTGTCTTGCCTCCTTCGCTAAGCTCCTTGCATGTACGTGTCTGTTACTATAAGCACTTTATAACCTTCTATGTTCAGAGCTTAATTTCTCCCCGTGTAAGGGCTGCCAAACCTCCCAGTCTTAAGCTGCTAATAAACTCTTTAGGTTTTTTTTTTCCCACTAGATATGCAGCTTTCTTTTCATCCTCCTTATCCCCAAATCGATGTGCCTGCACTTCTGAAGGCAGCTTGGGTTTTCCCTCATGCTTCCCGCAGTCATTCCCTAGGGCTGCATGCGGTCAAGGCAGCTGAACTTGTAAGCAACAGTAACTACTGTGAACACAGGGAAAGGCCAAGCAAAGTGTGAGCTCTTCTTACACATTGTCCTTTGCAGCAGGATTTGGTGGGGTTTACAGCTTGGCCAGGTGGGGAATGCTGACTGAGGCTCATAATGAGCTGAAACACCCACTGGGCATCAATCCATACCCCTTGTTTCTTGCAAAATTGGGCACGGTGTTTTGCTTGTTTCCCAGGAGCCCAGTTCCTCCTGGCCCTAAACCTGAGTGATGGCAAAATGCTGTGACTGCACCAGCCCAGGTCCTACGTGAGTCCTATTTCAGCCCACACGGATTGATTTGTTAGGAGCTCCAGGGTAACCAGTGGTGTGTTTGTCCGTGGAGCTAGGAGGGGAAGGCAGTCATGTCAGCTCCACGCTTGTAAGGATGATTTACAGCTTTATAAAAGCAAAAAACCCACACTTCCAGCCAGTGGGGTTAATGCAGGCTGGAAGGAAATGTCAGCATGGCAATAGATGGAGAAGAGAAGCTATGTGGGAACCTAAGAGCAGCTGCCGGTGCCAAAAGGGGCTGACAACAAAGCTGGAGAAGGACTTCAAAGCTTCAGCAGGGACTGTAGTGATAGTACAAGGGGTGATGGGTTCAGACTTAAACTGGGGAAATTTAGGTTGGAGATAAGGAAGAAATTCTTTACTACGAGGAGCTGGCAGAGGAGCTGTGGCTGCCCCATCCCTGGCAGTGTTCAAGGCCAGGTTGGACACAGGGGCTTGGAGCAAGCTGCTCCAGTGGAAGGGGTCCCTGCCCATGGCAGGGGTTGGAGCTGGAGGAGCTTTAAGGTCCCTTCCAACACAAACCAGGCTGGGATTCTATGATATCTATGACCTGGGCTAACACTGCAGACCTTGTCCTCCTGCAGTCAATGAATTTCAGCAGGACAATACATGCTCCTGAAGCTCAGGTGGGAAGCAGGAGGAAGGCTGAGGACCTGTAGAGCTCACTCAGGTCTGCAGCGAGGAGGATGCTCCCTGTCGTTCCGGTTCCAAGAGCCTCCCAGGGCTGGGTGCATTTCTCCCCTGTGTCTGTAGGAGCTCAGACAGCTCCCAAGCTGTGTGCTGACGACAAGTGCCACCACGCTCCCGTGTAAAAGCTGTTTGCATAATGCATGTGCGCCCCGGCTGCTGCATCAGTCTCTCCGTTTGTCCCACTCCTGAGTCACTAACACTGCAGCTGCCTAATTAAAGCATGAAAAGATCTCATACAACCTCCCTGACAGAACCAGGGGTAGTGTTTGGCTTCAGCTTTGCCGTGTGGGAAGGCGAATACACACATACGCACACAGAGCTCCTTCCCAGGCTCTCCTGGGTGTCACTCTCTCCATAGCTGCTCTGTGCTGTGGTTGCCAGATGTGGCACCTCTGCTTCTTGTAGGTGGTGTCTCCTTTGCTGCTCCAGTCTGGCTGGCATCCTAAGGACTCAGCATTCAGCATTCCATCGTGACCCTCTTTCAGCAAGGATTCACACTTTGCTAGCTCCTGCATGGAAAGGGAGCAGCTCTGAGAGAGGTTTAGGACAGAACATCCGCAGGCAGGTGTTAAACAGCCAGTGTCCACCAGGATCCAAGGATCATTGCTACATCTGGATTCATAACACAGGCTTGTCCCGTACCTGCTCCAGCAAGATGCTGTTTAGCAGCATGCCTCCTAAGCTGCATTGAAACCCCATCAGCAAACCAAAACTAACTCAGAATAAAAAGGTGATGCTGGATACAAGCAGCACTTTCTGCTTGGTACTTCCAACCCATGTCTGGCAAGTGGAGGTAAAGGTGAGGATTTGGTTTGTTGGGGCTTCTCAGCACCAGTGTTGCCAGTCTCACAGAGCTGCTCTGAGCAATCACACTCAGAAGGAAGGTGGGAGATTATCCCCCATGCTCCTAAGGGTGGCCCAGGTTGGTTCAGAGAGCAGAAGATGCTGTTGGTGGCTCAAGAATGGTTTCATTTCCTTGAAAGCATAAAACAAGCAGAAAGAAATAGCCAGAAACTGCCATCATTCAGGCCAGATGCCACAAAACTGAAAAGAAAAGCCCCCACCTTAAAAACAGTGCTTTTCCAGGACTACATTTAGGAGGCTTTTTTTTATTTACTGGTGTTTCTGAGCTGTATATGAAGTACTGTGTTTGCTTTCTGCTGCATGGGAAAGAGAAGCTGAGATCCACTGGGCGGTCATCTGGCTTCAGGGGCTAGGACTTCAGACGTTCCTAGGGAAGCTCATGGGATTTGTGACATGAGGAATGCTGCAGAGACCCGTGACAGCATAGCCTGAGGGTGTGCAGAGAGCTGCTTTCAGCTGCTGTGAGGACCAAAGAGGGTCCTACCAAGGGATGAGGGGTAGAGCTCTCCCTCCGCCTCCATCCTTCGCCTCTTGCTCCCAGTGTATGCTTTCAGTGCGCAGTATTACACTGTGAGCCTCAGGCTGCTTGACAGCAAAATCCCTGTTTTCTGGGAGAAAGAATATGGAACATATGGTAAAAACAAGGACTAGGCAAAAAATAGGACCAACATTGTCACCAGGGCAATGCAGCGGTGCATCAGGCATCATTCTGCTTGAGAAGAGCAGAGCAACCCTCTGCCTGGCAAAGTAGGAATAAGTTAGGTCTGGAGTCTCATCTGCTTCTGCCATCCTTGTGGTCCCTGTTGCTTTCCCTCCTGGGTCTTTGTTCATCAGCAAAAGTGTTTGTTCTCAAACATGAATTTCTTCCACCATGGGCTGGCTCTTCTTCACTTGGTCCTTCAGGCGGTAATAACACTGATTTATACTATTGGTGCCAGTCCATGAGCTGCAACAGTGACATGAGCCCAGGGCCACCAAAAAGGAGGATGAGACTCTGCACAGCTCTGCTGAAGGTGGTGCCATCTTTAACAAACCTTGCAGATGCATTAGAAAGGGACACAAGCTACAGGGTTCATGTAGGAAGGCTACATCAAAACTTGGTCCAAGCCTGATTTGCAGAGATGGAAGCCTTTAAGAGATGCCAAATATAAGGAGGTTTTTACAGGATGCTCTGGTGTGGGATAAGGTCACCCCTTGAAGCCTGCAGTAACGCCGTTGTGATTACATGTGTGGATTGCACCCTACTATAAGGTCTTATTCCTACAGGATTCCCTGCTTTTCAGACCACTGTCCCATGCCAGCAAACACTGATTGCTCTTTAAGCGTTTAAGTGCTTGGGGCAAAGAAGGGTCACTGTAGAACGGGTAGATGTTATCTGTGACAACACGTGCTAACACAAGCACTTGCAGCCAGCTCTTCTCATTACAAGCTCTCTGCTGGCTGAGGCTCTTCCTTTTGTTGGCACATAGCTCGGGATGTGCTGATGAGCACACCATGACGCAGAGGAGCAGGGAGGGCTGGAGCTTCAGAGCTGAGACTGAAGTAACTGTGCATAATCCAGCAGCCCTCCTGTTGCATAATTTATTCATCCTTATCCCTATGATCTCCCAGCGTTGATATCAAAGGAGTTGTGCCTTTGGCTTGCTCGGAGGAACAATTAGCTCTATCTCAGTGCTGCTATCAGCTTGGCACATGCAAAACCTGAGCAGGTGATGCTCCTTAAAATGCTCCTTAAAAAGAAACATCTAATACATTTTAGAGGTAAGTCTTCCACTGGGAAACTTGAACAAAACATTCTCCTCTAAGTTGCTGCTATGTCTGTTTTTAACTCCTCTTCTACAGGTTTGACACTCGTGTAAACGGAGACGACTTCTCGGTTTCATTGGGAGTTGGTTGCTCGATTGTAGGATCCCAAATGCTGCCAGATACTTGGATCCTGTACCTTGTCTCACTATATTGTCACTAGGATTTAAGTGGCAGGCATCCACTAATACAGGATGCTGCTTGCTGAGGCCTTTCTTCTGTATCTCCTTGCGGAGCACTAACCTTGTGCCTACTCTTGTCGTTGTCCAGCCTCCGCCATCGGGGCGGCAGTCCCCGACCAAGAACACAGTGAATGGAAGTCCTTCCAAATGCCCCCGGTTTGTGAAAATCAAGAACTGGGAGACAGGCTCCGTGCTCCATGACACCCTGCACCTCAAGACGGCGATGGTGAGTATTGTAGGTAGGCCTGGCCGAAAGTTGCCTGAGCACAATGGAGTGGATCGCAGGGTTCCAAGGTGGCTTCACCTGGAAGTGCAGGACTGGATGAATTCTGATCAGTTGTCTTGTCTCTGGAGGTTGAGATTCAAAGCTCTGGTGTAACAGCCTGGGTGAGAGGAAAGTCGCCCTGTGATACATAAAGAAAAGCATTTGACTTTACACCAAGCTGGGCAAGAATCTAGTGAGACCCAATTGTCCGTATAGGATGGGACAAGAGACGACTGCACATGCTTGAGCAACATTACCAATTACAACATGCCAATGGGTGTGAAAACAAATAAGCTGGAAATGTCCCTGTTTGTCAAAGATGCCTCTGACCTCTGCACAGCTAACCACTGACATCCCCCAGCCCTGTTCATATAGTCAAATGTGCTTTAGTAACCCAAGACACTCTTGTCTCCTTCTGTCCCACCAGACCACAGCGTGCACCGAGCAGATCTGCATGGGCTCAGTAATGACTCCTAGCCAGCACATCCGTAAGTCAGAAGATACCAAGACAAAAGAGGAGGTGCTCCTCTTGGCTAAGGACTTCATTGACCAGTACTACTCCTCTATAAAGAGGTAAGCATTGGCTGGAGAATGTCGCAGTCCGAGGCTGCTGCTGCTGCTGAGATGTCACACATCATCTGATCTTTCACACTTGAGAGTCAAAGCAGGCTGAGACCTTGACACTGCTTCTGCAGTGGAGCTTCACTTGTAGTATTTGGTGTGTGCCTCTGTGCAAATTACTGACTTCTCCCATTTGCACTTGGTCATCCATTATCTGACAGCGTATCTTAATATCTTCATCCCTATTTTAAGCATATGTGTGCACATATATACACACATATATATACATGTGTGTATATATGTGCACACATATGCTTAAGAAAGAAACAACTTCTAGCAGTCTTCCAGTGCCTAAAGGGGCTGCAGGGAACCTGGAGAGGGGCTTTGGACAAGGGCCTGTAGGGACAGGCCAAGGGGAATGGCTTTAACCTGCCAGAGGGGAGACTGAGCTGAGCTCTGAGGCAGAAGCTCTTCCCTGTGAGGGTGCTGAGGCGCTGGCACAGGGTGCCCAGAGAAGCTGTGGCTGCCCCATCCCTGGCAGTGTTCAAGGGCAGGTTGGACACAGGGGCTTGGAGCAAGCTGCTCTAGTGGAAGGGGTCCCTGCCCGTGGCAGGGGTTGGAGCTGGAGGAGCCTTAAGGTCCCTTCCAACCCAAACCACCCTATGAACTCGTGCCCAGGTGGAGAGCAGCAGGATTCCCTGCCTTCCGCCTCAGTGGACAGCTGCCATCTCCTCCGTTCCCCACCCATGCAGATCTGGCTCCAAGGCCCACATGGAAAGGCTGGAGGAAGTGACCAAGGAGATTGAAGCCACTGATACCTACCAGCTGCGGGACACAGAGCTGATCTACGGAGCCAAGCATGCCTGGAGGAACGCAGCCCGCTGTGTGGGCAGGATTCAGTGGTCCAAGCTGCAGGTGAGCACCAGCCCCAGGTTGGCTGCCAAAGGATGCCCCGGAGTTTTGGACAGGCAAATCTTGCTCTGCAAACACCTGGGGAAGCACAGCACAGGTACAGTTGCGGGTGTTCAGCACACAGCAGCCCTGCTCTCCTCAACAGCTTTGGGGGTGCAGAGGCTGGGAAGAGAGCAGGAGCTGGGAAAGCATCTGTGGGGTAGGTGGAGCTGAGGTGTCTGTGACTGAAAAGGGGCCAACTAGAAGCTGGTTGTCTAGAGAACATTTTCCAACATCAGATACTCCTTCAGTATCTTACATGCTGCTTCCAAAACTATTGCTGGAGAGAGGCAGCAGGGCACATTCATCCCTGGTACAGAGATGCTATGGCAGAAGCAGGTTTGGCTCAGTGCCCTTCGACCAGCTGGAAGCGTAGAGTAGGCTCTGAAGTAGTATCTCCAGTGGAATCCCATGGTACAGAGATGACGTCTCCCTCTGTAACCTGGAACACAGCTCAAGTGCTGCTGAGCAGTTCTTGTGGCTGCTTCACACAGGGTACAGGCACTGCCTGGGGCCAGGAGGCTGAGCCTTTGCTCCCAGCTTCAACTCTTCTCTTCCACTCTTTCTTTTGGCATATCTGGATTCAGGGAGGGGAGTTATATCTGCAAGAAGTTGTCTTCAAGCCTCCTGCTGACCCTCTTTCCTGGTTTCTCCATCCTTTTATAGATGGAAACATTCAAGGCCAGGTTGGAGGGGGCTTGGAGCAACCTGGTCTAGTGGAAGGTGACCCTGCTCATCACAGGAGTGTTGGACTAGATGGCCTCTAAAGGTCCCTCCAACACAAACTAAGAATCTATGATTCTCTGATTCAAATCTGTGGTTCTCCATCCTCTCAGTACCCCTCAGACCTGAGACCTGCCCTATTTCAGCTTTGAATCTTGATCTTCAAGAGCCAAACAGCAGAAACCCAAACTGTTGGTGGGTAAGCGACAGGCTGGGAGCACTAGACTGAGGAGGGTTTTGCCTCAGGAGCAGATGACTCACCTCTCCAAGCAGAAGGGGCAGCTGCATTAGGCATTCCAGTGTTGTACAGGCAGAGAACATGCAGTTCTGGAGCTTTAGACACCTAACAAGTCATGGTGGTATCTAAAGCTTTCCCTGTGCTGTGTTTCTTCTGCTTGGCTCTGTCCTAAGGAGTCAGAGCATCCTGTAGCATCACCACAATTGCTTCCACTCTTTCAGGTGTTTGATGCCCGGGACTGCACCACAGCCCATGGGATGTTCAATTACATCTGCAACCACATCAAATACGCTACCAACAAAGGGAATCTCAGGTGAGTACCAGGGAGCCTCCAGGGTTTATAGCTGACAGTTTACAGCTGGGTGTGTATCAACCCAGCTGACGGTGTCTCCTTCAGCAGTCATTGCACAGCAGGATGGTTGTAGCCACCTCCTTTCCTGTGGAGCTTTAGAGGGACCCAATATCAAGGGAAGGTGTCCTGCTGGCCCAAGGGTATTCCTCCTTGCTCAAAGGTATTCCTCCTTGCTCTCCGTGGGATCTCAAGGCACAGATTCCCCTTTTCATTAATTCTCCTTCCCCATATTGTGCATCAAATGCAGAGCATGGGGTGCTCTCCGGTTCTGTGTGAAGCCCCATCTTAGCAGCCAGCTTCTGCCTGGAGCTGAACTGCTGGGAACACCCCAAATTCCAGAGCTGGAGCACACTTGGCCATGGCAGCTTCTAGTGAAAGGAATACAGTAGATGTCTGGGGCTTACCCGGGGCACGAGCAGAGGTGATGCACAGGGTGGTGCAGGCAGGGACAGCACCTTTCCCTGCAACACTTCCTCTGACAACCCCTGCCTTTTCCTTCCAGATCTGCTATTACCATCTTCCCGCAGCGGACGGACGGCAAGCACGACTTCCGCATCTGGAATGCCCAGCTCATCCGCTACGCCGGCTACAAGCAGCCCGATGGCACCATCCTGGGAGACCCTGCAAACGTGGAGCTGACGGAGGTACCAGCACCGTACCTGACAGAGGCACCAGCACCATACCTGACAGAGGCTGTCTCCATCCTTCCTGGGCACCACGGGCTCGTGGGGGCATGCATCCTGACCACCCCAGCAGGGAGGAGGGTGCTGGGACAAGCAGGGTTTGTCACATCCACTGCAATGAAGCTGCATTTGTTTTCTCTTCCCTTTTCTCTTTCACCATTACAGACACAAGCAGCATTTTCAGAGCATGATCCTACCTGGGATCTAGTTCTAAGCTCGTTTTCACTCTAGTTCCCCCTTACTTGGCCAGGGTTGGCTGTGACAGGCAACCCCATGTTGTAGCTCCCTTGGATGGAGGTTATTATTCCATCCCAAGGGCTGAGCAGAGGTGCTGTTACGAGACCTTATTCAGTGCCATGCAACTCCCTGCCCATAATGCTTGAACCCCATCTTTGTTTCTCCCATAGATCTGCATTCAGCAGGGATGGAAGGCACCACATGGGCGCTTCGACATCCTGCCTCTGCTCCTCCAAGCCAATGGCAATGACCCAGAGCTCTTTGAAATCCCTCCAGAGCTCGTGCTGGAAGTGCCCATCCGACATCCCAAGTAAGTCAGAGTTAGCCCCGAAGCTGGGGATCAGCAGGACTGAGCCCATTTGGTTTCACCCTAAGCCATCTCCTGAGCTTGGTTTTTTCTTGCCATGGCTTGGGCGCTTGACCCAAGACCCTCTTCCAGGTCTTCCCTCCACTCTGATGTAAGCCTGGCAGAACCTGGAGGTGGAAAGTGAGTTGTGCCCTTGTCCCAAGGATGATTTCCCTTTTCTTGATATTTCCCAGGACTTACATCACTCTGTAGCACTCCTGATCATAGAATCAACCGGGGTGGAAAAGCCCTTTAAGCTCATCAAGTCCAACCTCTATCCCTGCACTGCCAAGGCCACCACTAACCCATGGCACTAAAAGGCTCATCTACAAGGTTTTTGAACACTTCCAGGGATGGTGATTCCACCACTGCCCTGGGCAGCATGTTCCAATGCCTGATCTACCCATTTCTCCCTATAAACAGCCCCTAAGGGAGATATTGCCTTCAGGAAGCATTCTGCTTGCCTGGAGACTGGTGGCAAAGTAACCTCCTCCGTTCCCTGCCTGTTATCCCACCAGGTTTGAATGGTTTAAGGACCTGGGCCTCAAGTGGTATGGTTTGCCAGCGGTTTCCAACATGCTCCTTGAGATTGGTGGCTTGGAGTTTTCCGCCTGCCCCTTCAGTGGCTGGTACATGGGCACAGAGATCGGGGTCCGGGACTACTGTGACAACTCTCGCTACAACATACTAGAGGTAATTCCCCTTCCTTGAGTTGATCAGGGGCTCCTGCGGTGTGTGAAGTGACGGGGGAGCAGGCAGGACACCGCAAGAGACATCCAAGTCTCCCTTAGAGAGGGCACTGATGTTCTTCTGGAGGTATGGAGGGGGTGATGGATTTTGTGACCTATGGGGCCAGCTAATACCTAACTCAAGCAAGTGTGGTGTCCATTGAGCTCCCCTTACGACCTTATGGATCAGCAGGCACCTAGTCAAGTGCTAAGATGTAGTGGGGCTCAGAAGGTGCTGAGACACTTGGTGACTCCTCAGGGATGCTCTTAGCATGGCTTGGTGACAATGCCAAGGGGAGGTGCTGGTGCAAGGGGTCTGCACCCATGAAGGGTGGCTCCTCTGCCCTTCCAAGGGGCACACTTTGTCAGCATCCTTCCCAGTCACTTGGAAACCAGAGGGGTGGCAGCGAATGTGTGTGTGCACATGTCCCTCTGTGATAGTGCCCGGGGGAAGGACTCCAGGTAGAAGAAACAGGCTGAGAATGCACGGAGCTTGTGAGCAGCACGGAGACATGGGGAGGGTGCAGGAGTCTGCTCCTCCCAGCTCACGGATCACCTCCATCTCCTGCTCCATCTCACAGACCCACCTATTTCCTCTCCTCCCACAGAGAGCAGCTGCTCTTGATGACAGCATTTAGTTACCTTCCTGTGCTTAGGGGAGGAAGGGAGGCCAGGCTGGCCACACTCCTGCCATGGAGAGGAAAAGGCAGGACCACGTCTCCTCAGAGGAAGGCAAAACGTCAGCCCTTTGTTGCAAGTGTGCTGGTCTTGGTTCTTGGCCATTACAAATGTTCACCTTCTACCATGTTTTATTGCAGCAAGTGGCCAAGAAAATGGACCTGGATATGAGGAAAACCTCCTCGCTGTGGAAGGACCAGGCCCTGGTGGAGATCAACATTGCTGTGCTGTACAGCTTCCAGGTAACTGAGTAGCAGGACTTGGGTTTGTTTGGGTCAGGCTTGAGGGACACAGGGACTGGATGGGCCAAGTATGGAGACATCCCTCCAAGAACAATGACAGCTGATGCTCTCAGCTGAAATTGGCCTGTGCCCTCCTAGTTTTTGGCTGTTCCAGGAACCTGCAGTGAAATGTAATGATCTCTGTGGCCTGGATGTTGCAAGGACAGCATTAGCAGCATCTGAGCTCTGCTGGTCCAGAGGGAGAGCCCTGAGGGGGCAAGATCCAGCCCTTCTCTCCTGTTCATGAAGCAAGAGTTGGCCCAGGTTCTCCCCCAGCCTTTACTTAAAGGTTGATTAGCAAAACTGGTCCTTGGCAACCCAACTTCAGAGGGTGGGAGCTAGATCAGAGCTGCTCCTTGAGTTGTGCAAGCCATGAAAGAGCTCCCCAAGGGGCTGAGCAGAGGATGCTCCGTCCTCTTCAATGCCATCTTAGTCTTTGCTTGACCCATGACAAATAACAGGAGGAACAAGCATCCCATAGCACATCTACTCAGGAAGGACTAGGACAGCTTTGCAGCCTGCTTGGGAAGAGCAGGTTCATCTCCAAAGGTACAGTCCTGTAAGACCATGGGAGGGAGGAATATTTGACTTGAACAGCTCCAAATGTAAAATCTTGGTTTTAAATCCTGGCTGTTACCTTCTGGGGTGAATTAACCCAGAACTGATGGCTCTGCTCTCTTTCCTCTCCAACAGAGCGACAAGGTGACCATTGTGGACCACCACTCAGCCACCGAGTCCTTTATCAAGCACATGGAGAATGAGTACCGATGCCGTGGGGGCTGTCCTGCTGACTGGGTGTGGATTGTCCCTCCCATGTCGGGCAGCATCACCCCAGTTTTCCACCAGGAAATGCTCAACTACCGTCTCACACCCTCCTTTGAGTACCAGGTAGTGTCTGCACCCTGCCTTCCATCAGTGCTGCATGCCCAAAGGTATAGCCAGAAGCAGGGTGGGACCTGGAGCTCAGAAGATGCAAAAGGGGGACACCCTCTAATCCCTTCAACAAGCTGCCCCTTCAGGCACTGAAGTCCATGAACAAGTGTGACTGATGTAGTACACCCCTAATGTAGTGTAATAACCCCCTGGATGTTACACTTTTTCCCAAGGCAATGGCTTTTTTCCCCTCCATGAGAATATGAGACACCTCAGGTGCCAACCTTCACCCTTGGATCAAGCAGAGCTCCTCCCTTTGCGTTTTGCACTTTGATGGATGGGTGAGGAAATGACCTGGTGGTCACTGTATCCTCCTCTCTACAGCATCCATGTTGTAGTGAATGGCTCTTGCCAGCTCAGGGATCCAGCAGCTTGATGGGGAGGGCTCCTGCCAAGCAGCAGGATGAAATGCTGGAGTATTTAACACTTCAGAGCATGGGGAAAAGGCCCCAGAGCAAACACACCCTCATGAGCCAACATCCCTGCGCCGGTGGCTTTCACACAATGTGACCTCTAGTCGAGAGCCCTTAAGGAGCAATCACAAACCAGGAGCAGCCTGTTCATTTCTATAAGCATCCACCAGGAGCCCTGATGGTTCCTGGCCCTGATTACAGACTCTGAGGGCACTGAATAAACTTCTGTGAGCTTGTTCCTTGCTTCAGCTGCCTCCTCTTCCCACAGGGCCTCTTAGGATAAGAAATCCAACCTGTGGGATGGGGAGGGGAGGGAGCTGTTTCCATCCCATCTCCCTTTCTGGTGTTGCCTGCCTTCGTTTTGCCTATTACTGCTTACTTCAGAGGGAAGAATTTGCCCAGATACTGTTACAAGCCAGCAAGGCTTTATTATATTGCAGTTTTTGTGCTCATATTCCATTGTCCAACTGCCACGAGAAACCCTGGAGCCATGATCCTTGAGGCTCCAAGGACCAGGGACCTATACATGACATGGAAAGCTGTGTGTAAGCCAGCTAGTGCTGTGGCTGCAGCATTTCCTAATGCTCTGATCACTGCCTGTCAGCTGCTGCTGCTCTTCTCTCTCCTAGCCGGACCCTTGGAATACCCATGTCTGGAAAGGTGTCAATGGGACACCCACCAAGAAGAGGGCCATCGGCTTTAAGAAGTTAGCAAAGTAAGTACCAGTGGGTCTGGAAAACCCTGGAGTGTTTGGGGCTGATCCTGGTTTTGGGTAGCAGTGTTTGTTGTGCTGTTTGGTACCCCTACCCTTTAGATGTGTGCGACCTCATGGCTTGGGAGCCTGGATCCCAAGCTGCCCATAGGGACATTTGGAGAAGCAAGCAGTCCTTTGAACATCCCATTAGGTGTGTGGGCAGGTGAATACCAGACATTGCATATGGTCTTTTCTCCCAGGCTGGTTCATTCTCCAGTAACATGGTCTTCAATGGTCAGGAATGGCTTTCTCACTTTCGGGGGGTATATTGCCTGTTTGCCCTTTCACAGCCTCCTGGGGCAGAGAACTCACCCACTGGTGGTCACCCACAGCACTGTTCATGCTGGCACAAGCAAGATGAAGCCTGTGTCCTTATCTCTCTTTTTCTTGCTGACTTTTTAGCTGCTTGAGGAGCACTGGTCTCCAGTGTGTGTCTAAACCTCCAAACACCCCATCTGCAAGGAGCTGGGGGGAGATCGGCATGAGGAATCTATCTACAGGTAGCAGATGGATCGGGGCTGAGCTGAGATTAGCACTTCATGGCCAGTTGACCCCCAGTAATGGACCACGCGCATCCCTCTCCCCTGCCAAAGCATCCAGTCAGGAGGGATGCAGGAATGAAGCGTCATTTGGCTGATCCTGGCCCAAAAGCCTCCCCTGTGGGCCATTGGCACAGAGGCTGTTGTAGGAGCTGTTGGCTCCACGGCAGCAGAGCCCCGTGCCAAGGCTGGGAAGGGCTGGGTCTGCCCTGGTATCCATGGCCAGGCTGGCAGGAGGCCTGGTGCTGTTCACAGCATCTCCCCACACTTCAGTTTCCCCAAGTCCCTGCCATCAGGTTGTTCCCACTCTTCAGCTGTCACCTTCTGTAAGCTATTTTCTGTGGAGCATCCATGAACACGATCAGCAGCTGATGAATGTGCTCCTTAAGCTGACGCTGGTGCCTGGGTCTGGGCTGCAGCCTGGGGCTGGTGGAGAGCGCAGGAAGATGGATCGAGCCATTGAGTTAGGAGAAACAATGCTTTTTGTGTGTGTGATTGATAAATGGTTTTATAAAAATGTGAGCAGAGCAGGTAATTTAAACCCAAATCTCCACTGTTCCTGACGCAGGGAAAGGAATTATTCCTGTAATTCACCATTAATCCTCACTGGATCTGAGCTAATCAGGTGATGGACCAAGCTCAGCAGGCCTTGGCACTGGTCACAGCGTGATTTTGATGCTTGTTCAGACAGGCTGTGCTGATTCCAGCTAAATCAGAGCATTCAAACCTGCCCCTTCCCTCCCCTGGGGCCACTGTAAGTTCTAGGGAATGGAGACACTACCCTCATGGGAAAGCAAAAGGACAGCTTTAACATGCAGAACTACACGGAGGAGTGTTTGTATAGCAGCAAATTAGGTGATTATGAGCAGCCCTAAACCAACAAACTTGGCCCACTGATGCTACCCCAGGCAGCAGCACCAGCAGAGACAAGGAGCCAGCGTTTCTAGTGCTGCATCACCTTGGCCAGGATTAGAGGGGGCAGTGAGCTCTCAGAGCCCCTCTGCCCTGCCGGGGGGGAAGGCTGGAGCAAATGCACCCAGTCACGACTGCGGGCACAGGAGGCAGCAGCCAGACACAGCCCTTGAGTGAACGTGCAAGCTCTGAGCCTCGGGAGGGCTGCTCCTCCGAGTCAGGTTCATAGCATGGCTGCAGTGCAAACCCAAGGGTCTGCAGACAGCTCCATCTGAGCCCCTCAGTGTCTCAGGGCTCTGTGTGACGTGTGGGGCACAGGAGCAACTGCTTGGCTAGGACAGCTCCCGCGGAACGGCAGCCAGGTAGGATGTAAAGACGTAGAGAGGAGGAGAAGATACCATGAGTTCTGCAGCTTGATCTGCGGTTGGTCTCCAGCTTTGCCTTTGAGGTTATGCTGTCACTGCTTTCAGCAGCTGCTGCCCCTGATTCTTCTGTTCTGTCTCTGCAGAAAGATCATCCCCACCCCTGGTTTAGCGTTTTCCTCCTTACACCCATTCAGGTATTTCATGTGTCCAAGCTCCCCCGTCCGATCTTCCCCTCTGAGAAGTCAAGATGAACGTGCTCTTCCACTGCTTCCCTGTTTGGCACAAACAATAACAACAAAGTGATGCTGCAGCTTTTTAAAGCAGGCTGTTCATTTAATAACAAATAAATGGTGTGAATAGTCCGGGCTAGAGGCACTGACAGAGAAGCGAGCTCTCTTATCATAGAATCATGGACTCCCAGCCTGGTTTGGGTTGAAGGGACCTTAAAGCTCCTCCAGCTCCAACCCCTGCCACGGGCAGGGACCCCTTCCACTAGAGCAGCTTGCTCCAAGCCCCTGTGTCCAACCTGGCCTTGAACACTGCCAGGGATGGGGCAGCCACAGCTTCTCTGGGCACCCTGTGCCAGCGCCTCAGCACCCTCACAGGGAAGAGCTTCTGCCTCAGAGCTCATCTCAGTCTCCCCTCTGGCAGGTTAAAGCCATTCCCCTTGGCCTGTCCCTACATCCCTTGTCCCAAGCCCCTCTCCAGGTTTCCTGCAGCCCCTTCAGGCACTGGAGCTGCTCTCAGGTCTCCCCTTCAGGAGCCTTCTCTTCTCCAGGCTGACCCAGCCCAGCTCTCTCAGCCTGGCTCCATAGGATTCTTACCAGGGTTTGTTCTTGCTTCCTAGGGCTGTGAAGTTCTCAGCCAAGCTGATGGGACAGGCCATGGCCAAGAGGGTCAAAGCCACCATTCTGTACGCTACCGAGACAGGGAAGTCGCAGGTCTATGCAAAAACTCTGTGTGAGATCTTCAAGCACGCCTTCGATGCCAAGGTACTGTCCCCGCTCCCAGCCCCGCTGAGGCTCTGTGCGCATCTGGGTGGCCCCAGGAAACACATGGCTCAGGGCATGTGGAGCTTCCCAGGGAAGCCACTCCCAGGATATGAGCTTTTGAGTCCGGATTGGAGCCCACACAGGGGATTTTCCAGCTAATACTGCTGCAGGCATTGTGGCATGCATACGTCTACTGCCTCCCAGGTGGTAGCCCGTGCTTTGCCCGTATTCCTTGAGGCTCTTGTTCTCATCCTCCCTGTGTGGAGATCTCTGCTGATGCAGGGACATGGAGTCAGCAAGGATATGCTGCTCCCATCCCCAGGAGGACTGGGATCTATCCCAGGAGACTGGCTGGGGGTAGATCTCCCCACCAAAGGCCTTTTGTTAACATCTCTGTCTCCTCCAGGTGATGTCCATGGATGAGTATGACATTGTGCACCTAGAGCATGAAACCATGGTCCTGGTGGTCACAAGCACCTTTGGCAATGGAGACCCACCTGAGAACGGAGAGGTAGGACAGAGCACAGGGATGGGTGACTACACTGCAAGAGGGACACGGGCAGGGGACAGGCAGTGGGGAATGGGGAGAAACATCCTCTTTTTATCCGGCCAGAGCTGGAATGGCCCAAAACAGGTCCAGAAGCTGTGTGATATCTGGTGCTGTGTGTGCCTGCCTCCAGCCTGCTCTGTAATAGGGTTATCTACTTATTCCCTACTGTGAGACAAGTAACTGAGCTGCTGCTAAATCCGTCCTGTACAACTGATGTCAGTGTCACACAAAAGGTGCCAGCCCCTTGGCTGGGGAGCTACAACCTTATCCAGTCCCTGTACAGCCGCGTTGCAGGCTGCTGGGAACAGCAAGCAGAGATCAGAGCCATGGCCGAGGCTTTGGTCATGCTTTGTTCCCTGCAGGGCCTGGCAAAACTGATGGCTTCTTCTTGTTTCTTCCCTGTAGAAATTTGGCTGCGCCTTAATGGAGATGAAGAATCCCAATGCCAACCTGGAGGAGAGGAAGTAAGAGCACTCCAAACCCCCCTTCCCACTCCAAACCCCTGCAAGCAGGCAGCCCCACAGCCAGTACACCTCTGCTTGCCTCCTCTCAGAAGAGAGGATGAAATCCTCATGCAGGTTTCAAGTCTGGCCAGGTCAAAGGGATGGGACCTGCTTGGAGACCCAGTGGACGGAGCTGGTGGAGGTCCCAGGGAGGGCAGATGCACTGAGTCAGGAATCCCATGGACTCCAGCTTGTAATTCCCCTGGCTGGCGTTTAAAGCATTTCTGTTCAGCTGCAAAGAGGCAGCATCTATGAAAATCACAACCCAAAACAGAAAAAAAACCCAAATAAAAGCAGGAATTTCCCCCAAATCATCAGATCTGAGAGCTGGGGCCATCCAGGAGACACCAAAATAGGATGACTTGGAGGTAGAAGGGAGTTCTCAGCTGTGTGGATGTAGGTGGGGGTGAGCTCGAGAACCAAATTTAACTTCTTGGCATCATGTGAGAGTATTTCTAGGGAAAATAAGGGCTGTTCTAAATCCTGACTGTGATGTTTGTAACAAGGAGGTTGGAGCTGGTACCTTGGAGACAGGCTCTGGGCTTTTACAGATCCTCATCACTAGGAGATGAGCCTTGAGCATCTCAGCGCATGCCTCAGAGGCTGCAGCCAGCAAAGCGTTAAATATCTAGAACATCCTCTTATTTTAGCTATTAAGTACAATACATTTCACTTAACTGGGGCACTGCTCTGCTCCGGAGGCTTTCCTGAGTTAACACAGGATGCTCACAGCCAGCAAAGGGCTGCTCCTCAATGAAGGAAGGATTAGCCCTGGCCAGTGGTACAGAGCAATTTAACTGCCCTGATTGCCCCACCAGGAGCATCCCCATGGCCTCCTCTGCACTCACTCCAACAGCTCCACGTCCCTCTTGTGCTGCTGCCCCAGAGCTGGATCAGGGCTGCAGGGGGGTCTCCCCAGAGCACAGCAGAGGGGCAGGATCCCCTCCCTGAGCTGCTGCTCACGCTCTGGGGGTGCAGCCCAGCACATGGGGGGGTTCTGGGCTCAAGCACTCACTGAAGCCGGGTCATGGAGAGATTCTCTTTGACCAGCACCCCAAGTCCTTCTCCTCAGGGCTGCTCCATCCAGTCCCCCCCAGCCTGTGTTTGTGCTAGGGAGGGTCCTGGTGCACACCATTAAGCATGAAAGAAAGCTTTTGCCATGAGACAAGGTGGCCTGGAGCAGACTGTCTGGGGCAGAGGGGCAGCATCAGCTTGGCTCTTTGTGTCTTACCTCAAGGGTTTTCCAAGAGCTTTCAGAGGCATTCATAAGTCATTCCTATTTATGGACCTGCTGTTCAGTTGCAGCTCATCCTTTAACAGTCATAGAATCATGGAATGGTTCAGGTTGGAAAGGAACTTGAGATCATGCAATTCCAACCCTTGCCACGGGCAGGGACACCTTCCACTGGAGCAGCTTGCTCCAAGCCCCTGTGTCCAACCTGGCCTTGAACACTGCCAGGGATGGGGCAGCCACAGCTTCTCTGGGCACCCTGTGCCAGCGCCTCAGCACCCTCACAGGGAAGAGCTTCTGCCTTAGATCCAACCTGAACTCCCCCTGTTTCAGTTTGAACCCATCACCCCTTGCCCTATCCCTATAGTCCCAGATCAAGAGTCCTGCACTACAAGGACCTATTAATTTCAACAAAACTGCTGGTGCCCTGACCATGGACCCAGCACTGACTGGGGAATTTGGGCTTCATTCTCATCATGGGCAGCTCTGCCCAGCCTGCCCCACACAACCCAGGGTGAGGACGTGGCCCAGGGCAGGCAGAGGAAGGAGATGGCTCTGTGTAGATGAGCGAAGCAGAGAAGCGTGAGGAGCCGGGGCAGACAGGAGGAGGCTGTGGAGCAGAGGGCTCTGAACCCTGGCATTCCTCTGCTCGGGGGTTGTCTCCTCTGCGTGGCGGCGGGTGCAGGAGGTCTGCTGTGACTCATGCACACACACACCGCTGCCTCCCTGCTTGGCAGTATATTTAGAAACTCTTGTGGAGAGCAATTTCTGAAGATGGTTCAATTCAGAAACACTTCTGCTGCTGTCAGGGCTTCTGCTCCGCTCCCTTCCCCCTCCTCATCCCTCTGCTCTCGCTCTTTTTATCTTATTTTATGGGTTTTACTTCCTATGGATGAAAAACCCTTCAGAATATCAGCTCAGGCGCACATCGACCTTGGGTGCAGCCAGGGAAGGGCAGGTAAAGCCAGAGGTCCGGGCAGCTCTGCATTGCTGGGGACAACGTGGTGGCCGACACCTGGGTCAACCCACTGGAGGGTCTCATGGAGTGGGCCAGGACCAGATGGAGGGATGCAATGTATGGGCTGCTATGGCTTAACCCCAGGAGTCACAGAATCATTGGGGTTGGAAGGGACCTCTGGAGATCACCTAGACCAGCCCCTCTGCTCTAGGGCGACCCAGAGCAGGTTACACAGGAACATGTCCATGGTGGGTTTGGGATGTCTCCAAAGACAGAGACTCCACAACCCCCTTGGGCTGCCTGTTCCTGAACAACTCAATGTAAAGTTGTTCTTCCTCACGGTGAGGTGAAACTCCTTGTGGTTTAGTTTATGGCTGCTGCTCCTTGTCCTGTTGCCGGGCACCACTGGAAGGAGTGGGTTGAGCACATTGCTCTGCTCTAGCCACTGATCACGGAGTCTGCTCTGGAATATCAACCCCTGAGCTCTGGTTTGGTCTCGTGCACAGTCTGAGCACACAGCCCGGTGGGAGCCCCATGCACACGTGGCATCACTGTAATGCCCAATGCTGCTGCTGTTCACAGGAGCTACAAGGTCCGTTTCAACAGCGTCTCCTCTTACTCGGATGCACAGAAATCCTCGAGCGATGGCCCTGACTCCAGGGACAACTTTGAAAGCACAGGGCCCCTGGCTAACGTCAGGTAAATGGGATGGGGGGGAGGCAGCAGAGGGGGCAGACATGGTTCCTGCACGGAGCTCCCCTTCTCCTCTTACCTAAAGCATGATGTATCTCTGCAATGCGCAGGTCCCTCCGCGCACTCTTGTGCTGGTGCTGGCCATGGTGGGGCAGAAGGGGGACATGGTGGGGCAGAAGTGGGACATGGTGGGGCAGAAGGGGGACATGGTGGGGCAGAAGGGGGACATGGTGGGGCAGAAGGGGGACATGGTGGGGCAGAAGGGGGACATGGTGGGACAGAAGGGGGACATGGTGGGGCAGAAGGGGGACATGGTGGGGCAGAAGGGGGACATGGTGGGGCAGAAGGGGGACATGGTGGGACAGAAGGGGGACATGGTGGGGCAGAAGTGGGACATGGTGGGACAGAAGGGGGACATGGTGGGGCAGAAGGGGGACATGGTGGGGCAGAAGGGGGACATGGTGGGACAGAAGTGGGACATGGTGGGACAGAAGGGGGACATGGTGGGACAGAAGGGGGACATGGTGGGGCAGAAGTGGGACATGGTGGGACAGAAGGGGGACATGGTGGGGCAGAAGTGGGACATGGTGGGACAGAAGGGGGACATGGTGGGGCAGAAGGGGGACATGGTGGGACAGAAGGGGGACATGGTGGGACAGAAGGGGGACATGGTGGGGCAGAAGTGGGACATGGTGGGACAGAAGGGGGACATGGTGGGGCAGAAGGGGGACATGGTGGGGCAGAAGGGGGACATGGTGGGGCAGAAGTGGGACATGGTGGGACAGAAGTGGGACATGGTGGGACAGAAGGGGGACATGGTGGGGCAGAAGGGGGACATGGTGGGGCAGAAGGGGGACATGGTGGGGCAGAAGTGGGACATGGTGGGACAGAAGTGGGACATGGTGGGACAGAAGGGGGACATGGTGGGGCAGAAGGGGGACATGGTGGGGCAGAAGTGGGACATGGTGGGGCAGAAGGGGGACATGGTGGGACAGAAGGGGGACATGGTGGGACAGAAGGGGGACATGGTGGTGTCGCTCCCTGCCCAGTGGCTGCAGCCGTGCCCCCTCTCCACAGGTTCTCCGTGTTCGGGCTGGGGTCTCGAGCTTACCCCCATTTCTGCGCCTTTGCCCGCGCGGTGGACACGCTCCTGGAGGAGCTGGGTGGAGAGAGGATCCTCCGCATGGGAGAAGGGGATGAGCTCTGCGGCCAAGAGGAGTCCTTCAGGACCTGGGCCAAGAAGGTCTTCAAGGTAACCCGCTTCCCTTGTGCTCCAGGGAGGAGCAGGAGGGGAGATGGATACAGGGATAGAGCAATGATGCTTGTTTGGGGTTGGATCAAAACCCAGCCTCTCCTTCCCTACGCTGGGATACTCAACCATCACCTTAGCCCACAATAAAGAGGTTTTCTGTAGTTTGGTGGAGCTGGTGCTCTGGTTTGTGCTCACCAAAGGGTGAGCACTGTGTTGAATTCCTGTGTTATCCCAGATCCCTGGGGAAGGGAGGGCACCACAAGACATGCCCATAGCCACTGGGGCAGCTGGGGGCTCCTTCCCCATGTGTTGGCTGAGGTGGGTTGGGACCAGAGGTTTGTGGGGCTCCTTGGGGGCAGTGGGGAGATGCCTGAGAGCCCGGTGTGTGCTGCAGGCAGCGTGCGACGTGTTCTGCGTGGGGGACGACGTCAACATCGAGAAAGCAAACAACTCCCTCATCAGCAACGACCGGAGCTGGAAGAGGAGCAAGTTTCGCCTCACCTACGTGGCTGAGGCCCCAGAGCTCACCCAAGGTATGAAGATGGGGTCACCACCGAGAGCTCTGGGCATGGGGCAGGGGAAGGAGAAGACCTCAGAGCAGCTTCCAGTATCTGAAGGCGGCCTATAGGGATGCTGGGGAGGGACTCCTCATCAGGGACTGTAGTGACAGGACAAGGGGTAACGGGTTAAAACTGAAACAGGGGAAGTTTAGATTGGATATAAGGAGGAAATTCTTTCCTGTTAGGGTGCTGAGGCACTGGAATGGGTTGCCCAGGGAAGCTGTGAATGCTCCATCCCTGGCGGTGTTCAAGGCCAGGTTGCAGAGCCTTGGGTGCCATGGTTTAGTGTGAGGTGTCCCTGCCCATGGCAGGGGGGATGGAACTGGATGATCTTAAGGTCCTTTCCAACCCAAACTATTCTATGATTCTATAAAGTAGGGGTGAAGGGGTCAAACCTCTTTACTTTGTGCTAAATTGCCAACATTTCAGTGTTGCTTTTCCCCTCCACCACACGCCCAGGAAGCAGTTTGTGACGTCTCAGGCCCCTCCACCTGGCCCCTGTGTGTGTCTGTAGCAGCACTGTTGATCTATGATCTGCTCTCCCTCCTCCTGACCCCATTTTTTGAAGCAAAGAGCTGGCAACCTGGGTGCATTCCAAGCTCTCTTCACGTCCAAATGCCGCTCAGCCGAGCGCTGCGATGCAATGGCGTGTCCAGCCCAGCAGCACCTGGCCCCTCAGCATGGCTCCTGCAGCTGAGGATCTGCCGCACTGCCTTTGCTCTTCCCAAATCCAGGCTCTTTGCTCCCAGCCAGGTGGTGCCAGCAGCGAGAGGTGCGTGTCTGCACGTGAGGGCTCGGCCCCAAGCCTCGTGAGAGCTGTTTCGGGGTCCTCCTCGGTCATTAACAGAAGGGGCGTGTGTTTGGGCCTCCTTTGGGGTCTCTGATCTCTTGGGATCACTGGGATCACACAAGAAGATAGGGGCAGGAGGGTGATTGAGCCCATGGTCTGTTTGCTGGGGCTGGCAACAACCAGCTCCAGTCTGAAGGGCTGAACGTGCAGCAGCAGCCAACAGCTTTGCAATAGCCAGAAGCCTCCTGCCTTGGCCATGCTCCGCTGCATTGCTTCACTGACTCTTCTCCCCTGCAGGACTGTACAGCATCCACAAAAAGCGTGTCTATGCAGCACGGCTGATCACACGCCAGAACCTGCAGAGCCCCAAGTCCAGGTAGGAGATGGAGCTGCCCTGGGAGCTGAAGGCACTCATGGTGCACCCAAGCACCCACGCACACATCCCTTCATCCCTGAATGTCCCAATGGGTACCACCTTTGTGCTGATTCTGACCAAGGCTGGAAGCCAGGTGAACCCAGTAAAGGATGTTCCTTGCCTGATGGAAGGGGTGGGATGATGGGTGGCCACACTTGTGTAGTGCAAACAAATGGTATTTGGCACTGGAACCAGTTGCCCAAAGAAGTGGTGAATGCTCCATCCCTGCCAGTGTTCAAAGCCAGGTTGGACAGGGCTTGGAGCAAGCTGCTCTAGCGTGAGGTGTCCCTGCCTGTGGCAGGGGGATGGAACTGGATGATGTTAAGGTCCTTTCCAGCCCAAACCAGTCTCTGATTCTATGATAAAGTATCTAAAGCTAGAAGTTAACCTGGTTTTACGCTCCCTGAAGGACTCCCCAAACACATCCCACTTTTCCTCCTTTCCCTGTAGCCGCCTGACGATCTTCGTGCGCCTCCACACCAACGGCCACCAGGAACTGCAGTACCTGCCCGGGGACCACTTGGGAGTGTTTCCAGGGAACCACGAAGACTTGGTCAATGCCCTCATTGACAGGCTTGAAGATGCCCCCCCGGCCAACCAGCTGGTGAAGGTGGAGCTCCTGGAGGAGAGGAGCACAGCTCTAGGTAACCAGGGTCACCTCAGCGTAGAGTTGGCTTCTCTGCCCCTCGCCCGTCACCTTGTAGCTCCTCAGGGAGGAAGGTGGCCGCCAGGATACATCATTTCCCATCTCACTGCTGTGTTTGACTGGTTGAGAGCACCTCCTTCAACCTTCCTCTGCCCAAGCCACTGCTCATCTGTACTTGGGAGGTAGAGCAAGAGTTTGATGGATGAGCAGGGCCCTGGGGAAGGTATTTCCTTATTCTTGGGGAAAATGAAAGGTGTTTATACTCGCATGGAAAGAGCAATGTCTAGGGCTGGAAAGAAGCTAAAGGATCTTGATGGACCATTCCAGCACTATATTTCAAGCATAAGTCTGCTACCCTACTGCCATGTGTAGTGTAACAGGAGATGAAAAGCAATAGTAACTTTGGAGCATCAGGCTCATATTTATGCTCATTGTACAGCATCTCACTTGTAGCATGACAGTATCTCATGGACTAGTGGAAGGTGTCCCTGCCCATGGCAGGGGGTTGGAACTGGATGAGCTTTAAGGTCTCTTCCAACCCAAACCAGGCTGGGATTCTGTGTGATTTGTTCACCTTGGCTCTTAGGCTCAGCTGATCCCATGGTTGTGCTCAATTCCCTCCTGGCAGGTGTCATCAGTAACTGGACAGATGAGAACCGTGTCCCACCATGCACCATCTTCCAAGCTTTTAAGTACTATTTGGACATCACCACCCCTCCCACCCCCCTGTTGCTGCAGCAGTTTGCGTTGTTGGCCACCAGTGACAAGGAGAAGAAACGTTTGCAGGTCCTTAGCAAGGTAAAGCCTCAGGACCCAAGTTCTTTAAGGCCTTGGGGGCAATCACAACTACAGGGCGTTTTCATCCCACACTGCCACCCATCCCAGCTTTGCCATAAGCCTGGTAGGATATTGGCTGAGGCAGTTGGCTTGGAAGAGGCTGATGCTGCAGCTCTCTCCTCCCTCCTTCCCTCTTTTCCCTGGCCGTAGGGCTTGCAGGAGTATGAGGAATGGAAGTGGTCCAAGAACCCCACCATCGTGGAGGTGCTGGAGGAGTTCCCCTCGGTGCAGATGCCCTCCACACTGCTACTCACACAGCTCCCCCTCCTTCAACCACGTTACTACTCCATCAGCTCCTCCCCGGAGATGTACCCAGGCGAGGTCCACCTCACCGTGGCGGTGGTCTCCTATCGCACAAGAGGTACAGTGCTCACGCAGGGGTCAGTGGAGACAGGCTTGGTTTGGGGAGCAGGGGAAAAGCATCAGCACATGGGCAACACCACAAGGTCTTTGGTAGAGATCTTCTTTCAGAGAAGGACTTGGGGGTGTTGGTTGATTAGAAACTTAACATGAGCCGGCTTCAGTGTGTGCTCGCAGCCCAGAAAGCAACCGTATCCTGGGCTGCATCAAAAGGGTCAAAAGAGGTGATCCTGCCCCTCTACTCTGCTCTCGTGAGACCTCACCTGGAGCATTGTGTGCAGTTCTGGTGTCCACATAAAAAGGACATGGAACTGTTGGAACAAGTCCAGAGGAGGCCACGAGGATGATCAGGGGACTGGAGCATCTCCCGTATGAAGGCAGGCTGAGGAAGTTGGGGCTGTTCAGCCTGGAGAAGAGAAGCTGCGTGGAGACCTCACAGCTTCCAGTGTCTGAAGGGGGCCTATAGGGATGCTGGGGAGGGACTCTTCATTAGGGTCTCTAGTGACAGGACAAGGGGTAACGGGTTCAAACTTAAACAATGGAAGTTTAGATTGGATATAAGGAAGAAATCCTTTAATGTGAGGGTGGTGAGGCACTGGAATGGGTTGCCCAGGGAGGTTGTGAATGCTCCATCCCTGGCAGTGTTCAAGACCAGGTTGGATGAAGCCTTGGGTGGCATGGTTTAGTGTGAGGTGTCCCTGCCCGTGGCAGGGGGTTGGAACTGGATGATCTTAAGGTCCTTTCCAACCCGAACTATTCTATGATTCTATGATTCTATATGTCATTTGAAAGCGTTTCTACCTGCTACAGTGACCAGATTCCTTGAACCTATGACACCGCTGTCCCATGTTATGGAGAACGGTCCATGGCAATGTTTCAGTGAGGTGTTCATGTGGGATGCAGCAGGGAGCCAACTGGAGTAGTTGGCTGGTGTGACAAGTACAGACCTCCTTCCCTCCCCTCCTAGATGGAGAAGGACCAATCCACCATGGAGTCTGCTCCTCCTGGCTCAATCGGATACAGACCGATGAAGTAGTGCCCTGTTTTGTAAGAGGGTAAGTGGTCATAAAAGGCAAAGGGTGAAAAAGATGGGGTGATCCTCTTGCAGGATGAGCTCTTTGCCCTCAGATCTTTGCAAAGCACTGAGGGTGAGGACAAAACAGGGTGGGATTGGTGAGCAAATGGGTCCCTCCTTCTGCACCAAAATGCTGCTCTCTGGGATTTCATCTTGGTTTTACCCCTCCCTCTCCTGGTGTCCCAGCTCATTGTGGGCAGAGGTGAGGGAGGGAGCATCCTGCTGGGGTTTAACTGTGTCTTTGGTGTGTGCAGTGCGCCCGGGTTCCACCTGCCCCAGGACCCCCAGGTGCCCTGTATCCTCATCGGGCCCGGCACTGGCATCGCCCCTTTCCGCAGCTTCTGGCAGCAGCGGCTCTTTGAGATCCAGCACAAAGGTGGGTCCATGCTTGTTCCTCCTCTTCCTCTACTTGGGAACCCTGGGTGGTGGCATGGGGATGGGGGTCCAGTCACCCTAGCAGAGGCCAAGGGCTTCTTGAAGCAGCGACTCACCCAAGTGCGAGCTTGGAGGTCGGCCCAAACTCCCAAACCTAACTCCATGAGCCTCCTCCTGTACAGCTTTGCAAGCTTTTGTGGCAGTGTGACAGTGCTGGTGTTGGTTTTTAGGGCTCATTTCATGTACATGTGTGTAAAATACACATTTTACACAGATCATTTAGACGATTTAGGGAAAAAAAGTTTCATTTCTCCCCCAAACCTGGCACAAGCATCCCTGTTGTGTGAGCCCAGCCCATGCGCTGGCGCAGGCTATGCATCACCTTCCTCCTTGTGGGACTTCCCTCCTTCCCAGTTTGACCAGAGTGGGCTCCCAGCAATGCTGTGCAGGGTGCTGGGGCTGCTGGCAGCTCTGCAGAGAGGTGGCTTGCAGAAACGGGCTATTGGTGGTCTCCAGGCTAACTGCTTCTCCCTTCTCTTCCCCCAGGTCTGAAGCCTTGTCCCATGGTGCTGGTGTTTGGCTGTCGGCAGTCCAGGATTGACCACATTTATAAAGAGGAGACACTCTTTGCCAAAGCCCAAGGTGTCTTCAGAGAGCTGTACACAGCCTACTCCCGGGAACCGGACAAACCAAAGGTGTGTGGAGGGCTCTGCTCAGGTCTCATTGCACAGCCATGGCCACCCAGCACGGAGTGGAGATGCTGCTTCCTTGGCCACAGCGGCTCGTGCCCTGGGGTGTGCTGGTTGCTTAAGTGTACAGGATTGTGCCCTCCCCACTGCAGCCCCTCATCCCTGCACCAGCCTGAATGTGTGCCCACATTGCTTGTGCTTTGCCCTGGGAGCAATGGGAGGGGAAAGGCACGTCTTCCCAAGGAGGTGGAAAAGGAGGGATGTCACCCAGTGGAGTGGCGCAGAGACGGCACAAATAACTGGTCCAAATTACCACCACCACCACCTTGAGCAGGCCTGGCAATGAGATCTATGGTGGAGGTGTGAAAATGCAAGAGCAGAGCGATGCTTTGCTGCTCTCCCCATCTCTTGTTTATCATTGTGAGTGCTGCAGGCATGCTCGCCCAAAGCGGTGGCACATTGCAGTGCTGCCCAGTGCACACAAACCTGGCCGGAGCACTCAGGTAGATAGGGCTGAGAAGCTGGAGTTAATCCCACCTCCTCCTCCTCCTCCCTCAGAAATACGTGCAGGACGTGTTACAGGAGCAGCTGGCCCAAACTGTGTTCAAAGCACTGAAGGAGCAGGGAGGCCACATCTACGTCTGCGGGGACGTCACCATGGCCGGGGACGTCCTCAAGACGGTGCAGCGCATCGTGAGGCAGCAGGGCCAGCTCTCGGTGGAGGAGGCAGGAGCTTTCATCAGCAAGCTGCGGGTGAGTAGTGCCTGCACCACGAGACACTGTGTGACCTCCTGCCATGGGCACTGCACCTGATGCCTCCTCCTGCACAGCGGGTGGCACTGGGTGATGGGTGCTGCAGGGGGGACAGCAGTTCCCAGCAGTGCTGCTGCACTGGGCAAGGATGGGAGCATGACCTGACGGAGCTTTGGGTGCACAGCGGAAGTCACTTTGCTTTGCTGCAGTCCTTCAGCTCCTGTGATGAGCACTGATACAAGCTCTGTTGGGCACCCTTGGTGGCCTGGGCAGGGCTTGTTCACCTTGCTTAGTTCTCAGTGTCCTCCCCCATCAGTGCACTAACCTAACAGGGAAGTTTGTGGGTCATAGAATCATAGACTCCCAGCCTGGTTTGGGTTGGAAGAGACCTTAAAGCTCCTCCTGCTCCAACCCCTGCCACAGGCAGGGACACCTTCCACTAGAGCAGCTTGCTCCAAGCCCCTGTGTCCAACCTGGCCTTGAACACTGCCAGGGATGGGGCAGCCACAGCTCCTCTGGGCACCATGTGCCAGTGCCTCAGCACCCTCACAGTGAGTCCCCCTTCCCCAGATCTCCTCTGTGTGTGTGCCTGGCTGGACAACGCTCCTGGGCAAACAGGTTGCTGCAGATGTTGCAGCTGAAGCATAAATGAGCTCAGTCTGGGACACAGGCCAAAGGACCGATGCTTGAACGCTCTGCTTCTCCTTAAGAGGATAACTCAGCCTGATTCCTGTGGGACTGCCCCTTCTGAACCAGGTCCCCACACTCCATCCAGTAGCTAACGGAACTCAGAACTACGTTTTAACTGGTTTACAACCAGCTCTCACACACAGGCTGGCCCCAGGCTCCTTGTCCCCTTGATGTCCAAGGCTGCCAAACGATGAGGAGCTCCACCACTGCCCCACAGTGTGCCTTTGGGAAGGTCATTTCCACCTCCCTGCTTGTCCCTGCCCCTCTGCCCTGCCTGTCCCTCCAGACAGAACATGTGCTGTGTGTTTGGTACCTGCCCACACCACAGAGCTTTGTGGTGCTGCAGCAACACAACTGTTTGTAAACACTCCTCATTCCTGCTGCCCCTCTCCCATCCGTGTTTCAGGATGACAGCCGGTACCACGAGGATATTTTTGGAGTCACCCTGCGTACGTACGAAGTGACTAACCGCCTTAGATCTGAGTCTATTGCATTCATTGAGGAGAGCAAAAAAGACACGGATGAGTGAGTTGACACGTTTATTTTAACCCCTGCAGTTGCTTCCCCAGCATGTGTGGGATGGGGAAGGGAGCTTTAACTTCTGCACTCGTGTGATCCCTCTTATAGCAGAGGATGAGAAAAAGCATTTGGGGTTGCACTGGAAGCAGAGGCTGCTGCGTGGCAGGCTCTGAAATAGCTGTTACCTTGCTAGGACAAATGTGCCGGTGGCCTTCCTGGGTTATTGCACCCCCTGGACCTATGTGCTCAGACCTGACAATTGCATCTAAATGGTGATGCAAAGGGAAAGAGTTCTGTTTACTGCCTGCCTCTGCCCCCCCTGCCAAGGAGTTTACATCAAATCACAGAATCCCAGCCTGGGCTGGGTTGGAAGGGACCTTAAAGCTCCTCCAGCTCCAACCCCTGTGTCCACCTTCCACTAGAGCAGCTTGCTCCAAGCCCCTGTGTCCAACCTGGCTTTGAACACTGCCAGGGATGGGGCAGCCACAGCTTCTCTGGGCACCCTGTGCCAGCGCCTCAGCACCCTCACAGGGAAGAATTTGTTTCCAGTATCTAACTGGGATCTCCCCTGTTTAAATGTAAAGGCCTGAATTTAAAGTTTGCAGGACCCACGGTGAGGGGTGGTTTCCCCAGCTCAACTGATGGCTTTGGGGGTCCCTGCCTGGCCCAAGGGATGCAGGCAGCAGGTACCCACAGAGGGAGAGGTCTCCAGGCTGCTGCATGCCCTGTTAGGAAAGATCTAGAGACCTTTCTTTCCACTGTTGCAAAAACAACCAAGAGAAGTAGAAAACCTTGACATTTGCTCTGTTTGTTTCTGCTCTACCATGTCCTGCCATTTGCTCAGCTCAGCCGGGGTGGGATTTTCCCTGGCTGAGCAGAAGGATTATTTAGGATAAAGGATGGGCAGCTGCCTGGATCTTCCTCCTTGTCCTGGCCCTCAGTAACCTGGGTTGCAGATCCCTTCCCTGCACTCCTGGCTGTGCCATGTAGTGCCCTGCTGACCCAGAGCGGGTTTCCCAACGTCCCTGAGATTGGGTAGGAATTTTTCTCCAACACAGCACATACTCTGGGATCTGCACTGCATACAGAGTGCCTCAGTTTCCCACCTCTAGGTCGGGATAAAGGTTACCTCTCTGTCCGCTTTACACAGCTGCAAAAGGCACTGTAAATTCCTGTCTACTACATGGTCCCAGGGAAGGTCCTTACCCAGTGTTCCGCTGCTCCTCCCTGCTCTCACTAAGCCCAGCCTTTCTTCCCTTTCCCTTGCAGGGTTTTCTGCTCCTAACTGGACCCGTCACCCCAAGGGGATGCCAAACCAGTCCCGGCTCCTGCTGCCCCCTCCAGCCGGAGGGTTTTGTATCTCACGGACACGGTGGCTCCTTTTCCGCGGGGAACTGCCCATGGAAAGCGCTCTGTCTCTCGTCCTGTCGTTGTGTCCTGATGATGATGATAATGATGATGATTTTTATTTCCTTTTCTTCCTCTTTCTCTTGCTCTTGTCCTGTGGCCATTTCTTTTCACCCCCTTTCCCTTCCCTGGATTTCCCCACTGAAGTACGATGGCTTTATAACCTGCAGTGGCTCTTAACAGAACTCCACATTTCTCCTTCTCACGAGGGCGTTTTGCAGCTGCATGAAATCAACTTTGTGATCATCCACATTTTGGTGTTCAGTGGGACAGCAGAGGTGGCAGGGGCTGGGCAATGGCTACGTCTTGTTGCTTGACCAGAGTTCCCCCTCTCCCCAGCTCGGGGCTTGGCTGAATCCTTGCGTTTTCATGGCTTTTCTTTGGACTTACACAGCCCTGGGCATATGCCTGAAGCTGGGGCAGATGATGTGCAATGCCCTCGTGCCTATGAACTTGGTTCACCCCCAAGCAGCCTGGATACAAGTGTCTGTTTCGATCCCAAGGGTGGGATGTCTCTTATCCACATGTCATGATTTCTCCTAAATGGATTCTGTGCTATGTTTGCCTCCTTCTCTGCTCCCTGCTCCCCACGAGCCTCTCCTTTTGCTCAACCCTACTTTTGCTGGCATGAGTCCTCCCACAGAGAAGCAAGCATCAAATACACAGGCTGATGTGTATGCTGGGGAAAAACTCATGCCATTGACTGCTGCTTGGCCAGGCTGTCCTCTGGAGGGCTTTACAGGAGATGTGTGACCTGCAGAAATGATGCTGATGGGACAGATTGAGGGACTGGCTGCATTCCAGAGCTTTGCATGCTGTGAATGTGTGAACCCTTTCCCAGGTGAGACTGAAAAGCCATGAGGATGGGAGAGAAGCAACTCCAACCCCACTGCAAGAAGCATCTCCTATCTGGAAGGCAGCACTTGGAGGGTTACGGAGGCTCCTGCTCCTTGGTGAGGATGTGCTGACCAAGGATTCTTGAAAGCCCAAAGACAGCATCATCTCCATCTTAGCAGAGTCCCATGAGCAGTGCTGGGACAGCAGAGCCCAGCCTCTTCCACACCTTCAGGAGCAGAAAGTGCCAGCACGGAGTGACCTGAGAAATGCATGTGGCATCTCAGTGACAAGCCAGCCCCCTCTGTAGGCTCTGCCCCAGCTGCCAGCAGCACTAGCTGTGTCTGCCCGGACATCTCAAGTGAGAAGAGAGGTGAGATGGGCTGCAAAGATGCTGCGTGACTGGGCTCTGGCACGCTCACACCTCAGCCCTGCTGCAGAAACCTGGCCCCAAAAGCATCTGTTAACGCGATCACAGGAAGGTATCATCCCTCTAACAGAGAAAAGCTGTCTGCAAGGTAAAGCATAGATGACCTTTGGTGTCCTTCCTCCTCCTCCTCCTCTCTTCCTCATCTTGGAAAAGGTTTGTCCTCCCTCATTGCCAGGACAAGGACAGCAGAGCACGGCTGCAGCTTTTGCTGGAGGCAGGGATATGGGGTTGGCAGATGTAGGAGATGCCCATCCTTTCCTCCTGCCCTTGCTCTGATGAACTCCATGCTGATACTTCTATGGAGCAAAGCACCAAAACCGGTGACAGCAGAGGGCTTGGTCAGGAGCTGCAATGGTGAGCTTGCTTTCAGAGGGCAGAGATTAGCCACCCTCTGTCAAAGCCAGAACAAAAAGCTGCAGGAGGTTTGCTGCTCTCCCAGCCCATGGTACAAGCTGCTCCGGTTCCCCCGGCCCCAGGCTGTGCCGTTATCCCCACCCTCAGCCAGGACTTCCTCCTCTTTCCTGCTGCTTGGCTAGCCATGTCTCCCCGTACCGTGATCACCTCCTGCAGCCTTGACTCCCTGAATGCTTGAAACAGCTCCAACCCCAAATCCAGGAGCAAAAGGCACCGAATTGAGCTCCAAGTCTCGGTTTTGATGCTCCCACCAGAGTGGTGGAAAATACGAATGGATGCTGCCACTCTGTGGCCAGAGCAGGGTTTGGAGCCGGGTGCGAGGGCAGGTTTGTGTCATTGCCTGGGGACTTGTCACCTGGAGGTGAAAACTGGACAGGAGAGGAGAAAGGGCAGCCCACGGTCCCCCTGTGTGGGTTGTGCCTTAATCCCAGGGCAGGCAGTGGGGTGGGGGAGCTGGGTCCCTTTGCTGTCTGTGGAAAACAGCCCTAAAGCTGTGAACATAGAACAAGCCTGGTCCTAACCCCCAGTCCTGTGGCTGCAGAAACAGAGCTGAAGGGAAAAAATCAAACTCATCCCCTTCTTTTGGGAGATTTGCTTGTGGCTCTAGACTTTGAGCTCTGGTTCTCCTTTTGGTAGAAGGAGTGATGCAATCTGAAGAGCAGGTAGTGCCCTAAGAAATGCCCTTGCCTTTGTCCTTTTCCCAGCTCATCCTGTGTTGCTGGCAATTAGTTTTCTCCTGTCCTGTATCACCTCCCATCTGGAAGACGTACTGCTGCTGGAGTCTGTGTCTGAGACGAATTGACTTGCTTTCCCTGTACCCCAAAGCTTCTCACCTCCATATCCCCCTTCCACCCAAGCTGTCAGTGAAAGCAGTGGGGAAGCACAGTGGAGAAGGGAATGGGGCATGTGCCTTGCCTTCAGTGGGATCCATGCAGGGGCTTGTGTCACAGACAGCTAGAGCCCCCTCAAGTTCACCAGGCATTGGGTAGGTGAGTCCTTCAGAGCCCTTTGGAAGGGATATGCTGTTCTAAGGGCAGCCTCTTTGCCCGGCCCTGGAGAAGAAACACTCTTCCTGCCATGAAGGTCCATGACTCCCGTTCATATGTCCACCAGGGCTCTGAGCTGCCTTTCTGCTCCCTCTGCTTGAGATGGACCATTTGCTCCTCACGAGCTGCACCACTGGGAATTTTGATTCACTGGTTTTTGTTGAGTCAGTCTCAGACATCTCAGCTTCTCCATCCTCTCACCTGCAGGGGCATCGCACTCCCCTCGTGCTTCATTTTCTCCCACAGCAAAGGGGAAAATCAATTTGTGGATCTGCTTTATCATTCCACAAATGCAGCTCTTCCTCCAGTTGTCTACACCCTGCTTGTGCCAGTGTGACATTTCTGACGTGTGGCTGTAGCTACAGTAACTCTGGCACGGATAAGCAGCAGAGAGTGAGGTGGGGTCAGCCACAGAGTAGTGCTGTGAGCTGCTCCAGGGTGTCATGGATGAGAGGTTGTGCCTCTTGGGCACTTGGTTCACAGATCTGTCACCTCCAGGTGCCTGCTGCCCAGACAGGCTCCTGCACAGCCCCACATGGCTCCTGAGGGGAGGGGTGCTGGGCCTGATGACACCCAGCCTGATCCAGTGTCCGAGTTCCTCTCCTGGAGGATGTCCACCACCACCACTGCCCGTTTTGAGCAGCTTTGCTCCTGTTTGCTCCCCAGATATTAAACACAAAGAGGGTCTTCTCTAAAAAGGAGATTTGATTTTCAAGACACTATGAAGTGGGGTTGGTTTTGGCAAAGATTTTAATTCAAACATCCACAGAAAGTTATTACCTGACCTTGAAAACTCATGGGAAATGATTCTCTGTTTTTCCAACCTGCTGTGTCCACTAGCAGGGAAAAATAAGTTGTTCATTCAGTGCAAGGGTGTCTACTGCCTGTGTTGTTGATGACTTCAAAGGTTTCATCTCCCCAAAAGGACTGCCTGGGAGTTTGTTGTTGCTCTGTTTATGAGAGACAGCAGGAAAATAATGAGACTTCTGCCCTCAGAAGCAGACTCAGGAAGATGACTCCACGGTCGGTGCAGGGTGGGCCTGAGATCGTTGAACTTAGAGGAACTGAGCCAGCCATGTCCATACTGGCCAGAGAAATGGGTTTGAGCTCCCTGCGCCATCCTGTGCCTACACATCCCAGGGGTGAGCAGGGGACTCTACACTCAGAGCAGTGTGAGCCTGTGCAACACAGCTTGCAGGTATGTCCTGAGTGATTGCACCCATGCAGAAGAGGAGATGGGAAGAGACAGGAGCTGCTTGAACCTGTGTCCAGTCTGACTGTGATTGCTCCGTTTGTTCCTTTACTGTTTGTTAGTACGTGACGCCTCTCACCCCATCCCAGGTTGTACCCTGTGCTCCCTTTACCACTTCTCTCCAGAGATCCCTCCTTTCTCAGCCCTGGCTGACCAGACAAAAGGTGCAGTGAGTTGCTTGGCAAGGGTGAGTCCTGGGAATGGCAACGGGCTTGCAGTGCCTTGGGCTGGGAAGAGACTATTGTACTAGGGCTGTACTCCTGTTCTGGCTCTCTCCAGAAATGCTCCTCACACACAGAGACTGGGGGCTGAGGGGAACAGTGACTTCAATGGATAAGTGAAATTCTTGATGGGCAAATTGCCCCTGGGATAACTGAGAGGAAACCTACAGGCCTGCTCTGCACTTAATCTCCCAGTGAAGGGGTTTGATAGGTGTATGGAGTCAGTGCAAAGTGTGGGTGAAAACTGGACACCACCTTCTGAAGCACCACAGGTCCATAAACACCTACCATATACTGGAGATCATGGTTTTATTAAGCTGGCAGCAGGAGGAGAGTTTGTGCTTGAAACTTCATGACCTTGCACCAAGCCCAAGTTAAAGCTGCTGTCTCACAACTGATGACCACTGAGGCCATTCACTCCTCTGATTCATACCTGTGGGGGAGCTGCAGAGAGTTCCCAGTGCTCTTTGGAAGAATTTTTATGCTCAAAACAAGATTTTGCTCCTGTTTTCACTGGGGATGAGCTCTCAGCTTCAGAATTGCTCTGATAACTTTGCAATCACTTTGATAGTTCCAGAGGGGAGCACAGTCCCTTTACAGAACAGATGGAGACACATTTTCAGGACCATTCCACTTTGCTGTAACTGGTTTTGGTATAATGATTTCTTTTGCTGTAACAGGAGGAGCAAAATTTGGCCAGTGCTGAATGCTCTTGAAAACTGTATTCCTGAACTTGGATCTGAGTCCTCCCAAATACAAAACACCTTCGACACGCTTCAGTGGCACTGGGGATTTCAGCAGCTTGCAGGATCAGGCTTTCAAAGCGGCAGCAGTTTCATGATGGCAGTGATTTTGTGTGTGTCTATCTGCACTTGCCTGCAATGCATGACTCTAGTGACCCATTTGAAGTCTCTCTTCGACAGGGAGATCTGAGCTCTGGCTTCTTCCATATGGCTGTGTGTATTTAATAGGAAACCAGAGGAGTGGGAGAAAGCTAATGAGATTTCTGCTTTAAAGCACTTGGTTCCACAGGTAAAACAGACCTTCCCAGACATTGGCTTGCTTTTAGCATGGGTAACTCATGGCATATTTAAGCATTGTGATATAGATACACCTTTTTCCTGCTGTGCCAGGAATGAAGCAGACTAGAAAGGCTTGGCCTCCACCCCTACAGATGTCTGGCTGTGATGGAAGTTTGAGCCATTGAAATCACAGGGGAAAATAACAACCAAGCAAACAAAACCCAAGAGATTGTGAGCCCATAGCGGAGTGGTCACAGCTTGTTTAGCAATGGGAGCACCTTACTGTGAGGGCTGCTGCTTTCCTGCCTTATTCATCTTCCTACCTGCCCAGATTCCAGGGAGAGAGGAGGGAGGAACCACTTTAAAAGCAAGGTATTCAAACCAGTGAGCCTTGTCCTGAGCATCCGTTGTTGGACAGGAGCCCACAGGGCAAGGCTTTGCAGCTACGCTTTGCTACCACGGTGGGGAAGTGGGTGAATAACACTGGGCAAAGCGTTTTATTTCCATAAGTATCCTTAATGCTTTAAAATTTAAAGGGTAAATACTGAAAGAGATGATCTAAAAGAGCAAAAGATTCGGGGCTTCTTTTTGTTGCTTTGTTTTCATGTGCTGCTTTCGGGTGGAGAAAGCCAACAAAAAACATTATCAGATTGTTTTGAATTCAATCACATATTTTGTTCTCACAAGAATTGCTAACAGAGATTTAAAGATTTTCCAAGGGCAACAAAACTGCCTTAATACATATTCAGCTCCAACAAGAGATGTTAATGCTACTTGCTTCTGAGCCTGCTTTATTCTCTTTCTGTGTGATTGTGGCACGGAATCACGTCTTGACAAAATAGGTTTTACAGTACTCGACAGGATGTCCGCAAACAGAAGATGGTGTTTCAGCACCTCCCCGTGCACAGCATTGAAGTGATGGCTTTGAAGCCAGTGAAATTCAATGCCCAGTTTCTGCTTTGCTAGAATTCTACACAATAGGCAAATGTCCACCATTCCCAAGGTTAAACGTGCTCTGCTGCCTTGAGATGCCTTCAAACAGCCCTGGGATTTGTATGCTGAAAAGAGCTTGAGAATAGATTCCCTGGTCTGCAGCACCATCCCCAGCTCTTCCAGAGTGTGCACAATTCCCCAGGCAGCAGATGAACAGAGGAAGATGACTTTCAGCCAGGACTCGTCGCTTTTTAGATTGAATGGAGTTAGAAACATGAGTTTCCAGCCACCCAGGGATTCTGATATTCAGTGCCAATTCATCTTTGTAATAGGAACAGGGATTTATTCCGTGATTCCCTTAGGCACCTTTGAAAAGCATAAGCCTCAAAGGTTGGTTTGGATTAGTTTTTCTCCTGATGGCCTTTTTCCCTGATGCCATGATGAGGAAGGGGACTGGTCTGTGAAGGGTGGCAGCTTTGGGGCAGGCAACTCCCAAACTTTCCACGGCAGAGGTTTCCTAAACCTCTTCTCAACATCTTCAGATGAGTAAATTCTGCTGTGCTGGAAGGGACTCCAACCTCTCGCTGCTCTCTGGTCCTCCTGCTCCTTCCTCCCTCCCCTCAGCACCTCCTCATGTCACTGTGCCTTCATTTGGTTTATCAAATGATGCCACGATTTAACACTGGCACGTTGTCTTTACTCTCACTTCGCATCCCATAAGACAGGTATGTGTGGAGGAGGATGTGTAGCTTATTTTGTAGCTTTTCGCGTGATCCTGAGGTAGGTTTCTTCTGAGGAGCAAAGGGGTGGGGACGGTGGGAGGAGGGATAGATGAGCTGGTGTTGTATTTGATCATACCAGTGCTTTAAGTGGTTACAAACATGGTTTTCCCCTACCTCTGAGCTCTCAATGCTGCTAAAATCTCTGCCATTCGTACAATGTACTCCAGCCCCCTCTCTCGGACTGACTCTGGCTCTGTTTGCAAGATATCCACATTGTTCTAAAGCATGCACCTCTTTCTGTATAGTTCCAATCTTCTGATTTTATGGAATACTTATGCCTGTTTGCATTACAGTCAAAATAAAAAAGTGAACTAAAGCCCATCAGACCTCGTTCTTCTCTTCTCTCTAAGGTTTTAATGCTGGAATGGCTCTCCCGATGTCTCAGGGTTGCTCTGGTTTGCTACCTGTAATGCCAGGCCACTATAAATCAGCAATATGTATTTATCTTCAAGACAAACACTTTCTTGTAAGGTCACCTGAGTCACAGCATGGCATGGCATCATCTATAGCATGTCCGTCAGGATACTGCCACAGCCAGGCAAGCAGGGATGTCTGCACACAGCCCAGGGCAGCTTTTGGTGCTGGAGCTGGAAGAACACAGCCGCAGTGCTCCAAGCAGGACCCGAGAGACCTGGGCAAAGAGAACGGCTGCATGTGGCCAGGACAGTGAACCTGAAAGCAGTGTGGCTTTTGACACGGGGTGTTGCAGGGGGTACAAATCTGCCTTTATTTAAACAGACATCCCAGTGCTCCCTGAAGAGCAGCAGCACACGGATGTGATCAGGACAGAAAGATCCTGAAGCTGTCCGCAAGGAGCAGGATGAAGGAATCCATGTGCAGGAGTGAGGGGATGCTTCTCCGGCGAGCCCTGCAGGGCCAGGCTGGTGAGGGGAACGCGGCCATAGTGTTACCTGATACACAGCGGTAGTTCTACCTTGGCCAGCGCTGTAGTTACACCTTGGCCATAGCAGTGCCATGACCCTGGACACTGTGGTGGTCTTACCTCAGCCATGGCGGCGGGCTCACCTCACACCGCCATGGTGTCAGCCACGGCGGCGGGCTCACCTCACACCCTGGCGCTCTCACCTCCGCCATGGCCGCGGTGTCACCTCAGCCGTTCCCCCGGGCAGGGCAGCAGCCACCTTGGAGTCACCTCACTCGCCGTGCAGCGGTTACCTCAGCCCCCGCGGGGGTGCCCCGGCCGCCATGGCGGCGGCATTACCCCGGGTGCCACCTCAGGCGTGCATGTACCAACGTGCAGCCATGGCGGCAGCGGTACCTCAGATAACGCCACACACCCCCTGTGAGCCCAGGGCGGGCGGGCACAAACCACCCGGCTCCCTGCAGCCGGCCCCGGTCTCCTGCTGCCGGGGCGAACGGCGTTTTGGAGGTCCCACCACGGGGGCAGACACCGCCTGTCTTGAAGGTAGGAACTTCGCAGACGCTCCCTAGGCTCCGCCACTGACCCTTACCCAGGCGAAGCGGCGCGTTCCGCTCCGCGGCACTTGGCGGACGCTCCCTAGCGCCTACAAAGGGAACGGGCGGCCGCGCTCTACGCTTCTTCAGGCGGCGGCACTTGGCAGACGCTCCCCGGGCCGTGCCCCCGCCCCCGCCGGAAGCTGGAGACGCTCCCTAACCCCTCCCGCGGGGGGGGGGGCGCAGGTAAACATCCAAGATGGCGGCGGAGGGCCCGGACCCGGACCCAGACCCGGCAGCGGGGCCGGGGGTGCCGCGGGGCTTGGCGGAGGCGGACGGTGACAGGATGGGCCTGACGGACCTGCCGGGAGAGCTGCTGGAGCTGATCCTCTGCTGCGACGTGCTGGGAGCCGCCGACATCGGGCGGGTGTCGTGCACCTGCCGCCGGCTGCGTGAGGCGTGCCAGCCCCGCGGCAAGGTGTGGCGGGAGCGCTTCCGCCTCAGGTAGGGCCCCGCGGCCTGGCGAAGGGGGGGGCAGCGGGGCCGGGCCACACCGGAGCCGGTCTAAGGTCCCCTGGGGCTGGGAGGGCCCGGGTGCTCCCGGGGTGATGGAGCCGAGCGGCCCGCGTCACCCCATCCCTGTCCCTTTTCCCTTTCTGTAAGGTGCATGCTGAGCCCAGCATGGGCTGGACGAGCCCAGCGGCTTTTTGGTGTTATCTAACGGGTGAGATGTGGATGTCCTTCCCGAGCAGGGGCTGCTGCAGGGCTGCTTCACCACCTGGGTCCCATGGGGTGGGATCGAGCTGAGCCCCTCGGAGGAGATGTGTCCTTGCAGCCCTTTCCATAGCGCTTGGGCTGCCTGCAGTCCCCACAGGCAGCCTGGGGTCTGGCACTGGTTTGGGTGTAGGGCCACACACGCTGGTGGTGTTGATGGGCCTCCCAGGCCCCACTAGCAGCTAACAGCTTCCAGAACAACTGCCAAGGCTTGTCCTATTGCAGGGCTGATGTGTTACAGCAGTAGTGCTTATTTGTAGTGCCTTTGGGAGAGCTATTTTCACAGAAACCAAAATCCTTTGGATTGACTTCTGCTGCTCCTGAGTTTAGATTCCCCCAAATGTGGTTATAGGGTGCCTGGTGAAAGCAGAGTTGGGTTGTAATTGGTGAAGCTGTTAATACTTTAGCTGGGAGTAAAGCTTGAGTGATGTATGGCTTGTGCTACACTGCTTTCAGCAGTCCTAGAAACACCACTCCTTCGCTAGGGCTGCCAGCCTATCTAGAATAGGGCATGCTCATCTGCTACCTGGTTTTGTCTGTGTTTTGGCACAGGACAAGTAGCAATATTGCTTTTCTTAATTGCCACTTGGCTTCCTCAAATGAGAGAATTATTCTCTTTTCATGGGTGAAAAAGGCTACTGAACCGTTACAGCTTCCCCAGTTCACTGAGCTGTGGCCAGATCCTGTCACCAATTCAGTGCCTCTGGTTTCTGAAGTGAACCTGAAATGTTACAAATGGGTGAGATCCAGCAGCTGAAATGGAGTGTGGTGGGTGATTAGCACATGCTGTTGTCCTCCTCTGGCTTTGATAATAGAACTTTTGGCAGGAGTTTGCACATTGACCTTGTCGTCCTGGCTGGATTCCATCGTGAGTAATTGCGCTTCATCTTCCTAACATTTTCAATATCATTTCAACCCCAGAAATTACTCTTTCTCATCCTAAAATAAATGATTGTAATTGTTATTACGACGTGGCTACATTTCAGCAGCAGGTGAATGGCTGGGGAGCCATCAGCAGAGAGGTTGTTATGTAATGGGAAGTTATTTGGATAGTCTTTGACTTTATTTTGTACCTGCAATTGCACTGGAGTTTTATGATTAACTGGTAGTAAAATATTCTCTGTGTGTGGATGGACATAACTGTGTGGTTGAGTCAGTTGGTAATGATTTTTGTACAGAAGTAGTGGCTTAAACATTTGGCCTTTTCTCTAGTTATAAAAATAAATATATGTAGATATATGAAAGTATACATATGCATATATATATATGAAATCTGAAAAGTCTAAGGCAATCCATGTAAAAAAAATGTTTTGTAAAAAACAGTTAATATTAACAGCATCTCAGTATGTGACATAAACATCCCTATAAATTACAAGAGGCCTTTCTCTCAGGTGTCTTCCATCTTCAGTGGTTCTTCTTCATGTTTCATACACAAATGATCTTGGTATGTTCAGAGCAGCTGTGGGTATTGCTGTGCTGGTGTTTTATTGCGCTAGGTGCTGGCTCTAATAGTCCCCATAACATTACCTGAAGTTAGGTTTTCAATTGAACCTTGAAACACTGCTCAGTAAACTGTGGAATGTGTTTTAGCTTTTGCACTTTTGGACTCATTAAAACAGGTACAACTTTCTTCTACAGGGAAGGTGTATGTTTGTTGGGGGGGGGGTGTCATAATTATTTGTTGCATTAAGAATGAACAGCAAAAGCATTTAGCTGTCACAATTTGTCTTCAGAATTCTGGTTCCCTCCAGTAGATGTTGCCACCAGCAAGGGCAATAGAGGGAGCTCTGTTTTGTGCATCCCTTTAATTAAACCCACAAGGCAGGAGGAAAAGCAGAGACAACAAATTCTCATTCTGTTAGATGACAAGTTAGTTTACATGTCATACTGCTTCAGAATGCCATACTTTGTTACTTATTATAAAACACTGCCTCTTGTCTGCCAATATGATACCTGTTGATCTTGCAAAGCTCTAGAGGACATACTGAAAGTGTATAGGATATTTAGGTATTGAAATATCTAAAGTCTGACCTTTTGAAGGCTTCCTGCTGACAGGCTTCAGGAGACCTTAATTTTAACTAACCATCAAAGTAATCAACAAAATCATTTGGGTTTATGCTTTGGTGCTTGAGTCATTGGCTTAATTTATGCAATTACATTTAAAGTTGTGCTGTGTCTTGGCAGTGTCTCAGCTCTTCATGTCACATGCTTACAATAAGTGAAGTTTCACAGCTTTGGAGGTTCTTGGTTATATGGAAATACTAATGAATGTATTCACTTATGTCTTCTTGTGTAGATGGCCATCGCTGCTGAAATACTATAGTCACACAGATGGTGTTAGCTGGTTTGAAGAATACAAAGCACGGCACAATGCTGGCTTGGAAGCCCAGAGAATTGTAGCTTCATTCTCCAAAAGGTTCTTTTCAGAACATGTAAGTCATCTTGTATAAATATGTGCAACAACCCCGCTACTTGTTTAGTGTTTTTATTGGTTTGTCTTCCCCTCTCTCTTCACATCTTTTCAACTATGCCATCAGAAATTTTGTATTTCTTCACTTTGTATGAAAATGCTCCATCACCAGCCAAAAAGGGAAGGAGCTCAAAATGCAGAGGTGCATAGATTCCAAAGCACGCTCTGCATATGACATTCAGCTGCTGCTGCTGCATTTTTAAAAGCTCTTTGCTCATTGCTGCATGTTGAGACCTGGCTCTGGGAACTTCGGAAGGACCAATAGTTTGTTGACACATACCACAGCCTATGAGTCTATCTCGCTGCAGGTCTTGTGCAAGAATGTGTCCTGCAAGTTGTCAGAAGTCATTTGAAAACACAACCAGACACAGGTTCACTGAATTGGAGATATGCATAAGATCTAGCGTGCTTGTGCTGCTCCATACACCCACTGTAGGAACCCTGAACGCTGTAGTAGTTAGTTCAGATTGCTGTAAGATGCTGCCATGGGGCTCTCAGTGGATCCTTGTAATGAATCCATAGACTAGAGACTATAAATACTTGGTGAGCTGGGCACACAAACTTAAAAACCTAGAGAAAACTTGGTTTTGAGACCTCTTATTAAATTATGTTCTTTTGAGAAGAATCTGTTGTACTTTGCGTAATTCACTGTCTGCTTTGGCAGGTTCCCTGTGATGGATTCAGTGACATTGAGACTCTTGGGTGCCCAAGTCACTTTTTTGAGGATGAACTGATGTGTATCCTTAACATGGAAGGAAGGTAAGAGAGTGAGGGGTTAGGAATGGAAGGGATTTTTCTCCTTTCAGTGGTTGAAGGAGAATGTCACTGTGGTGGATGCCTGACCTCAGCTTCTGTCCTCCTTTAACTCTCATAAAACAACATCCTCAGGCCTACCAAAGCTGGGAAGTATTGCTATGAGTTTAGTTTCAGAACAAATGTAATATTTCCAGGAGAAACCATGAAGACTGTTCTACAAGAAGGAGTTCCTCTGGCTTTGTGTTACTGTTTGTTGCTTGTTTCCTTGTCAGTTCATGACATCTCTCGGGACGACGGTCCATGCATCCTTTTCTCTGTAGTAGTTTTGACTTAAGGACATCCTCACATTTCTCTTTATTTAAACCTGTATCAGTTTGCTGAAGTCATTTGCAGATGAGGACACAGGACAGGAGGGAAGCAGGAATACTCAATGAGAAGTATGAACCCCTGTGTCATGAAACTACAGCATCTTTTTTTTTTGCCTCTTGTTGCTTTTCTTGGCTATAGTAGGTCAGTGCAATCTTTGCAAATAAGCAACTGAGTTGAATTCAGCCATTGCAAAATTTGCAGCTCTATAAACTATTCACACGGGTGAAATGCCAAGCAGGTCAATAAAACTTCTGGCTTGCATCTGCCTGGGTATTCTCATCACCGTGGTTAACACTGGGCGAGATAAGTCACTGCTTTACTTGAAGCTTTTTCTGCTGGTAGCATATAAACCATGCTGATCTTGCCATGATACGAAGCAGCAATAGATTGCTCTTGATGCAGTCTAATAGCCTTGGTTAAAGGGACTGTTAGTAGAGCTTGGAAGAACATAACTGTAATGGCAATCATCTCATTTTTTGACTTTTCACATCCATTTTATTACCTTCTCTGTTTGAACTGGGACTAAACATCTCTCATTTGACAATTGGTTAAAAAGCCTTTGAGCCTTTGCACTGGCCAAATGCCTCCCCATAAAGCAGAATTGATGCTAATTACACCCTGATTAAACTGTAGTTATTGCCATTCAGGAGCGTTAGGCTAAATCATTTCCCTGGAAGATATCCCAATAAAGCAGTTGTCCCTGTCGAGCATCCCGATTTATTGGAAAGAGGATAGTGTTATGATTGTTCTGTGCAGAAGTACGGAGAAGGCTGATCTGACCTGCAGTCTGGAGGAGAGGAAATGTAAGCAGGGACAGAGGGTGGCTTCTGAAGAAGGAAACTGGTCTTGTTTTAAACACAACGGGGACAAAGCACGGGCATGAGTAGAATTCTCCCTTTGGGTTTTTGGGGCCAGGGCTTTGTGCCATTCCGAACTGCTCAGCTCAGTGAGGCACTAGATGGCCCACTGCTAAAGGCCAGAGCTTTGATGGTGAGAGGATACTTTAAGATTGACTCTGGAGGGATCCAGTCAGAGGGTAATGTTTTACTAATGAAATCAGGACTTCAGTCAGATCTTCCTGAGCTGCTTTGGTTAGGATCTGTGTTGTTTCACATGATACTGTATCCTCTCAAGATTACGTATTGGTGATAGGTTAAAAAAGAGAGATGATAGCAGCAATGTTTTGCTTATATTGTGCTTTTTTGATGACAAATTTCCTTTTAACACTTCATTGTTGGTTGACTCTTCACTTATAACAGTGTTATCAAATTAATTTAGCAAAGCAATAGTCTTAACTTGTAAACCTGTATTCACTGGAAAAGTGAAACCAAATGCTCACCCTTAAAGTGCCTGTTTAGGGCAGTACTGCTTTCTGTATTTAAATGTGCAGGAAAGGTCTCACCTGGAAGTACTATGCAAAGAAAATTCTCTACTTCCTACGGCAACAGAACATACTGAAAAACCTGAAGGAATATCTTCAGCGCCCAACTGATCGGCAGTCGTTTCTGGAGGGTAAGAGCACCTAATGGCAGCTTTCCATCATTTCTCCTCTACTTGGAAAGAGCCTTCCTTGCTTATATTTCAATTAGCCCTTAAACAGTGACTGAGAATTAAGTTTGCATTGTTGACGTAGCTGAAATCCTTAAAAGCCTGCAGTGGTTGCACAGTGTTGTATGGGAATGTCAGGATTACCTTAGCTTCTGACAGTGCTGTGTGCTTGAATCACTGCCTATGGACAGATGAGCTGAAAAGCAATGGAGAAAATGTTAAACACTTCTATTTGAGTCTTGAATAATGTATTGAAGCAATCAGCAGTAGCTCAGCATCCTCATTAGCTGACATTTCAGAAGCATTTTAACAGTGGCTCACAGCCTACCAGACCAACTGATTTGATTTCAAGTCAGCTCCCTCTTATCTACTTTGCCAAGAGCTTCTCAGATAAAAGCAAGGAGCAGCCTGCAGGCAGGGGGAATTGTTACAGCTTGGAGCCTGTGCATTGTGATTTTTCTCTCGGGAAATATTTGCTATTGAAGCTGTGCAGTGTATCGCTGGGGGATGGATGGAAGTCCAGTCGAAGGGTGGGAAGGCACATGCACCTGATAGGAGGAAAGAAAAGGCTTTTCTGCTATTCATGTCCTCAGTCTGGTGAATTATTCTCCTCTTCAAGCTTTCTGTGGAGAATATAGTCTTCTAAATGGATCAAAAGCTGCCAGTGGCTTCTACGAGTCCCTTACTCCTGATACGTACCTCAAAAATGTCATACTAAAGAGTCTCTATCACCAAAGCTGGTTCTTGTTAGTGGCAATAGAATTTGAAGAAGAGACTGTGGTAGGGAAAGAAGGGAAAGCTAGAAGTAGCCTTTTCTGGAAATAACTGAAGCACTTAATTGTGTGACTTGATCGTATGGGTCACAAATACATGCATTTGTCTGCTGTGGAGGTACTGTTAAAGCACCAACACAGTCTTTTGTGAAGTTTCACCTAGTCAGCATGGGGAGCACTTTGGGGGGGGGGTTGTGTGGAAGAAGACGTTGCCTGGGCCCCTCCTGAAAGGTTTGAATACAGGCCTGTCATGGACATGTTATCAAAGCATGTGGGAAGCTGGAAGAGCAATTTTGCATCCAGGCAAAGTTCTTGCAGATGAATACAGTTGATGCCAAAGGTTAAAAAAGGTGGGAAAGAGCAGTGGTGACAAGATGACAAACAAGATTCTCAGAAAGGGCTATTGTTTTCTTGCAGAAGTTTGACAGAGGGGGCTTGGGCAGAAGGAAAATGACAGTTTCTTCTGTAATAGTGGATTTCTGACATGAAGATGGAGAGCAGGTGTGGAAGAGAAAGATGAATGTAGCAGAAAAGGGAATGATAGCTATGGAGGATGTGGCAAGAAGAAATCAGAACTGAAGCAATAGTGAAGTTGATATGATTTCAGGCTCTGAATAAAAACCATTGTAGATTGGGAGGACGCCAGGTGTGACCAGAGGGTTGGCTGGTTAAGCCTGGTCTAGCAGCATACCTGCTCGATGTATGAATCTATTGCTTTCCCTTCCAGATGGTGGAGAGGAGAATATTGAATTGGATTGGTATTTCTCATGTCAGCTTATTCTTTGCATTTTATGTGACAAATCCAATAAATGACTGCAGATTTTAAAAGGAAAGCTCTTATGTTCTGCTGCAATTGCTTGCTGCATGCCTGGAATTTAGAGCAGGGGAAACTAAGCCAAGAAAAAACTGAAGTCCTGTTTCTTATATAGCTTGTTTTTTGCAGGTGCTGTTTTAATTGATCAGTACTGTAACCCCCTGTCAGACATCTGCTTAAAAAGTGTCCAGGCACAAGTGGATGATATCACAGATAAAGTACGCAAAGTGCTGCGGAGTAGGAACCCGAGGCACCCCAGCTTGGCTTCCAAGGCAGGTACTGTACATAAACACAGGCTTTGCTGCAGAGCATTTCTGTAAGCCTAGATACAGGTGGAGAAGGTGAAGCTGTTGAGTTATTGATGCTTAAAGAGCTGTTGGACTTTATTCCCTGGGAAGCATATTCTGACATTTGCCTGAACCAGCAGTCAGGCAGCAGCCCCAGGGTCTCAATAGCCCAGGGTTGTCAGTCCATCTGATGCTGTCTAAGCAAAAAGAATTAGGAGGGGTGTTCTCTTTTCCTTTTTTTTTTTTTTTAATTTCCCCATTTGTACCTGAAGACTTAAGTAGTCCTGATAAAAGGTAGGTGCTTTAACATCTCCAGAAGTTGGGCAGCATCTTGCTCTTTGGTTTATTAATAATCACTATTAAATGTTTGCTGTCTGTCAAATGGATGAATGGGTGGTCTGTCTGTACCTGTATATCTGGTGTGGCCAACCTGGGGCTCCCAAGCAGTGAAAGCACTCTTCCCATACCCAGACAGTGTGACGTGTCTGAGCTGCAGTGCTATGCTGGCACAGGGTGGTTAGGATCCAGTCCTTCAGCCACAGAAGGAAGCGAGGAATTGCTATGGCACAGCTTAGTTGCAGGGTGATCCACTGAGCCGGGCCATGTTGTGAGCAGAGCTCTACAGCACTGCCATGGTAAACTCCAGCTAGTCTCTTCACTATCTGAATTGTCTTGGCGTCCTTAGTCCTTGGGCAAAATTCAGGTATAAGGTTCATTGCATGAAAGTTAAGTACACTTGTTTCCTCAGTCTTTATTTCATTACATGTATTTTTAGGAGAGATCCTGATCCCAGAAGTGGAGCTTCAGCGGCAGGTGCTTGATGCTATGAACTGTGTCCTATATGAGCAGTTGAAATACAAAGGAAACGAGCTGGATTACTACAACTCCCTGAATTCATACATTCACCAGGTACGTGTATGTCAGGCAAAAAAACCAGGAGACTACAAAGCTTGAGGCATCCATTTATGGTGTTTAACTGTCTGAATATAGTCAGACAAATAATGCTCTGTCAGGTTGATGTATTTTCATCTGTAAAATCAAGCGTTGGGGGTTTCTGTTTTTTTCTTAATATTCCTCATGGTTTTATCATGCTTTTATCCTCAGGTTTTGATCCGCAGGACAGGAATCCCCATCAGCTTGTCTGTGCTGTATTTAACAATTGCCAGGCAGCTGGGAGTCAGACTTGAACCGGTGAACTTCCCTAGCCATTTTCTGCTGCGATGGTGTCAAGGAAAGGAAGGGTAAGTGACGTGCTGAATTTTGAAGTTATGCCCACAGTAATAAAAGCCAAAAAGGATTTACAAGTCCAGACCTATACCAGAATGTTGTATTATTTTCTTTCTGTAATTATAACCTATATGGAGAAAAAGATCAGACCTCTACAGAAGTTTTCCCAGAACTGAACTATGCTGCTGTTAAATGGTAACAGATTTCCTGTGTGCAATAATAGTAACCATGAGGTAATGGTTCTCTTACTTAAGAAAATTATGAAAAGCTGAAAAGCAGAAAAAAGGTGCTGATTTCATTTAACCTTCCGTACAGAACAGTTGCTGCAGGCCACTGCTGCTGTTCTGGACATTTATTTAATTCCCTGAGTCAGTACAGAACATGTCTTTGACCAGATCGTGATCAGTTTACAGAACTCTGTGGTTTGTGAATGACATCAGCAGTCCAAGAGACCCTTTTGGCACTAGGCTTCAGACGTCATATGCGTATGCCTTCATAATATAATCTAGCGATAGATGCAGCAAACCTGAAGGAAAGAACTGGCATGATGGAGTGAAATGTCCCTGTAGTTGTTCTGTCTCTTCCCATATATGTTTATCTGAAGCAGCAGCTAAGAGGACAGAGAAAGTACCAGGTAATCTCTTTTTAGGCGAGAGCTGCGGTAAGAGTGAGACTTGCTAACAAACAAGCTTCAGAGTGCTGAGGGAAGCACAGAAATAGGAAATCCTGCTGGATCATGAGACCCATCATCACAGTTTAGCTCCCTTTTTGTTTCCTTAGAAGCACTGATATCTTTGACTACACCTACATTGATGCCTTTGGGAAGGGAAAGCAGCTGACAGTGAAGGAGTGTGAGTACCTTATTGGCCACCATGTGACTGAAGAATTCTATGGAGTGGTGACTTCAAAAGAGGTCTTGCAGCGGATGGTGGGGAATCTCTTAAACCTTGGCAAGCGGTGAGTTGATCACTGGGCCTGTCTGGCCTCTGGAAAAAAGGGCCTAGAGTGTTCTGTCTGCATATGTGATTCTTCTTCCTCACAGTATGTGAGTGCTTTAGAAAGATGTCAGTCACCCCAGGAGATTTTAAGTTCTGTATGCCATGTTCCATTCTCTAGTTGCTTTTAATCACCTGCAGTTGTGTGGAAAGAAGAATATTTAATAAAACTAGTTCTCACCAAGGAAACGGACAGGTCTCTTTTTGCTTTGTGAAAAGCTGATAGGCACTGTCCATCATTGAATAGAGACCTTCATTATGACCTGGTAAGCACAATCCACATGCTCAAATGGGCAATTTTAGAGATATGTTTGGTTTGTATGTTTGTAACAAACATCTGGGTTTGTTTTCAGTTGCCCCTGATAATCACATAGTCAGAAATCACAGAGTGAAAGAGTTGCTTTAGGGTTAATTAAGGTAGGGGTACAAAAGCAGATTTCAAAAGGAAATGGCTTGGAGAGCTAATTATACATGTAGGATTGTTTGACCAAGTGGAATATCAATGAAGTGGGAGGATAGATTCCAATCGGAAGTCATGTTGTAGCATTTTTTCCTGCTGAGCAGGCTGTTGGATGCTATGAGTGATGGTCAGTGCTAGAGTCACTGAATGAGCATGCCTGTACCTGTGGCATCATTTTTGGTGACTGTCTATGTACATCAGAGTACTGGGGACAGGGGTTAAAGAGCTAGTCTTACCACTCAGTTTCTTTTTTGCTGGCAGAGAAAGCACTGATCAGTCTTACCAACTCTTGAGAGACTCGTTGGATCTGTACCTGGCCATGTATCCGGACAATGTGCAGCATCTAATGCTCCAAGCTAGGTTATACTTCCACCTGGGAATCTGGCCAGAAAAGGTACCCTGCCACTTGGTTGTATGTTTTCTGATAGACTAAGTACTATTAACACTGGTCTATTGATTTTTGGACTACGTCAGCTTGCATTACAGTCTGCCACGAGTTGTTTCTGTGATAAATACAATTGAATGAGTTATCACATTTCAGAGAATCAATTTCTACTCTGTGAAGCAGGGAAAGCAGGATGATGCTTGCTTGCTTGCCCTAGAGGAAACTTGTGAGCACCATCAAGTCTGAGTTATAATTTATGATTTACTGCCCAAGCCTGACAGCTTATCTTGCAACCAATGCTATGGACTTTAGCTGTAAGTTACAAGAGCGTTCTGATTTATGCCTGGTTTTTGGTAGTGGTGGTAAAACTCTTGCTGGGCTCATATAAAATCAATTACCTTATTAAAAAAGTTACAGGAAATTATCTTTTAAAAATACAACCAAAGCTATTCTCTGAAGCCTTAGGCAGACAGTCAGTGGCTCTTGTGAAAAAGCAACTAAATATTCTTGTCCTTGGGATTCTTTCTTAATCCCACCTTTACCTTAGCAACTTGAGTGCTGCTGTCTTGTGAATGTGGGAAAGAAGGTGCTGAGTCTTACAAGTTGTCTAAGTTGTCTAGATCATCTCTGTGCCTTTCACTGAATTAAGGCCCAGGGAAGAAGTATGTAACTCAAAGTACCCTTTCTTTAGTGTGTCACTACAGCAAAGAGGTGTTCCCTAGTGAAAACTCCTTGTACTGCTTCAGTGAAGCTCATGCACATGGACAATGCCTGTGCCATTTCCAGAAGTGAAGTTTGGGTGAGGAGGCAGAATTACTGGCTGGACAGCTGAGCAGATGATAAAGCTCTTTCCACCAAGGTCACTGAAGTTCAGGACTGCTGGAGAAGCTGCCTTCTTTTTGAAGAACAAACTGTGCTGAGCTCGCCCTTGCTTTCTTATACCAGCAAATTTTAGGATCACCACATTAAAACCAGCACGAACTAAGACATTGTGTACAGAGGGGACTCACTAAGCTGAAATAGCAACTGTATGTATGTAGGGGACAGCTAAGCGAGCCCCTTCAAGATCTTCCTTCCCCTTTCTGGCACTCAGTGATGTATTTGTAAAGCACCAAGGCTTTGCCTACTTGCGTTTTGCTGCCCCTCAGAGCAAATAATACAACATCATGGCTGAGTTTTCATATGGTTTCTCTGCAGCACATTGCCAGATGCACTGAAAATGTGCAAATTTGGACTTTGCAGTATTGCATCCAGTCGTTCCAGGCTGTTGGGTAGGATTTTAGCCAGCCAGAGAGAATGCTCTATGTCTGACAGAAGAGAAGATACCAGATTTAATAGAGGTCTGCCAGATTTATGGCAAGTGGTACAAAATCTTAAAAGTCAAGCCAAGTCGCACAGAATGTTGTCCTAAATGTTAGCAAATAACAGTAAATTAAATAGCCAAGAATCTGGCAGCTCTGGTCACTGTCAGGCCTTCCCCTTTCTGTAGGATTTTCCAGGATTTTCTCATCCTTCTCAAGATGCCAGCCAAAGAATTAAGGTGGCCAAGAAGCCTGAGCTCTGCTGCTTCTCATGCCGTCTTATTCACCTGTTCTTTCTCTGAATCTGTTTTTATCCACCTCTTGGCTGATGTTCATGCTCAACAGCATGAGATTTCTGTTCTGCTGCTGCTGCTCTGAACTTAGAATGACCAAAACTTCCTTGTATGATCAAGGAGACAGTCCCTTTGCCAGGTGCTGAAATGTGGCAGCACTTGAGGTATTTGATGCTGGGACAGACATGTCTGTCTTTTCCCAACCAGTTTAGACAGTAGTTATATTAAGAACAAGGAGGAAGACAAAAAACAAGAGTAAAACTTGTATTTCGTGCCTCTAACAAACTTGGCAGTGGATGCTTGGCAGTGTGCCAGAGGCTGTTGGTGGGTGGGTTGGTGTTCTGGTTTGCTACTTTGAGAGCACTTTTAGAGTTGGTGTTCCTCAGTCATCCTGAGAGAGCAGGTTCTGTGTCTCTTTTTCCCTTTATGTGGTATAGCATCACAGAGATTCTTTGCCCTTCCTTCTGTGCTGCCCTGTTTTTCCTCCATCAGGCTCCCACAGACATGCTGAGGAACTCTTTTAAACTAAAATGCTTCTTCTCAAGTACAGCAGTCATCTGGGATGACCTTGCAGGAGCAGGTCAGGAGACTAGCAACAGTATTAACATTCCAGAAACCTTGAAACAGTCTTGTCAATGCCCTGTGGTCACAAAATGTGACATGACTAGCTTGTATGACTTAGTTTTAAGGAGTTATTGTGCTCAACAGTGCCCTTCCTTGGAAGTAGGGAGCTTTACAATTAGAAAAGGAGAGGACTGTGCAGTTTCTGCAAGCTAAGCAAGTGTAAAGAACTACTTGGAAGTGTGTACGTAGAGCAGAGGTTCTTAGTCCTGTGTGGAAAACTCATGTAGTGGACTGGCACTTAGGCCTGGGCGCTTAGACCCAGCTAAGTTGAGTAATATATCTGTATATATATGTAAGTATTGGGCTGCTTTAGAGACTTGTTCTGAATCTGTCTTTTTGGCTTGCTTGCTGAAGGTTCTGGACATCTTGCAACATATTCAGGCTTTGGACCCCTCCCAGCATGGGGCTGTTGGGTACTTAGTTCAACACACCCTGGAACACATTGAGCGGCGGAAGGAGGAGGTGGGACCTGAGGTGAAGCACCGTTCAGATGAGAAGCACAAAGAGGTCTGCTTTTCCATTGGGCTGATAATGAAACACAAGAGGTGAGCTCTTCAAAACCTTCCCCCCATTAGCAGGCTGTAAGGATGAATGCAGAGGTGTTGGTTCTGACAGTAATGAGATGTTTTATCTGCCAAGGAGATACATGGAATGGAAAATGCCATTTGCATCTATGCCATGCACCTTGTAGGAAAATGGGAGCAGTTCCGTCCTTTGAGAGCAAGTGCATTCATTGCTGTTTGCTTGCAGAGGTAAAATTTCCACAGCCCAGAGCTCTTGAAGAAACATCAGTAATCAGTTTCTGATGAGGGACCATGGAACAGAATCTACTTCAGAAGAGACTGTAAGATTCCTAAGACAGCTTATGGATCTTTCCCTGTGCTATTATTATCCCCTCTTCCTGCATTGCACAGAGGCTTTGTGTCCCTGTCTCTACCACTCTGTCAGAGTGACATGCTAGCCCTGTGTTGCTTCAGCTAGTTCTCTGACTCGACATGTGGACATATTTAAGGGCATCAGTAGTGACAGTTACAATACCTCATGATGAATCACATAAATATGCTGAAAATAATGATGGCTTTGGTTCTGAGAGTTCAGTACTGGGATTACCACATCTGTGTGATGGGCACAGAGTCATTGCACAACACAGTAGGATGGTCGATTCCCTCTCTATTGTTTCCTGTTCTTCTGTTTGCTGGCTTAGAGTCTTTTTCCCATTCTCTTTTCCTTGCTCACATTTAGTTTTCCTTTGTCCTCAGCTGTTTGTTCCTGTCTGTTTATCCAGTCACTCCTGGTCATTTCTCCAGCCTCCAAATACACACACAATCTTTTTGTGCCACCTGACTGGAGGTTCCTGTCCTGTTTGTGCTGTATTAGTCTTGAGAGACAAGAGCTGGCTCTGGAGCTCTCACAGTCTTTGGTGTGCTATTTCTTTAGATATGGCTACAACTGTGTGATTTACGGATGGGATCCTGCTTGCATGATGGGGCATGAATGGATCCGGAACATGAACGTCCACAGCCTTCCACATGGCCCCCACCAGCCTTTCTACAATGTGCTAGTGGAAGATGGCTCTTGCAGATATGCTGCTCAAGGTGAGTAAGTCTCCTGTGTTTACTATCCATTTTAGAAGTACATTAGGAGAAAGGGATGTTTAAGGGATTAACTCTTTTAAGTATGAAAGATAAACTGTAAGTTAAGATTGAGGTAGGAAGGAAAATGATTTTGAATCATGGCCTGCTTTGTTTGCTCTCCATGAATGAATTTTAAGGACCACTCTGGTGTAATCTCTTCTTGCCCAAGAAGCGTGTTTTGGATGTGATTGTTTTTATTGTGTAAACCATGATTGTTGCTTTTGAAAGAAGTCACTCATCTTTTACTGCACTCTTAAGTTCTGTCAGTAGCTCTTGCTCTTTGAAATCATATTGTGCTTTGGGCAGGACCTCAAAACAGGATTTAGTGAGGGAGCAAATAAGCTTCACTTGTCAGGGCATGGTTCTGAGCAGCTGTCATCAAGACACTATGTGCCAAGAGCACAGGTAGCATGGATTTAGTGCCACCTTGCATAAAACCAGGACAAAAATTAGTGTCTCTGCAACTGCAAAGCAATGTAGAAATCTTTGTCACTCTTCATGCAGTATACCATAAGAAAGGAAATTCTTGTCTGTTGGACAGAATATGAGGTTAGGACACAGGAGGAAGTGTTGAACTGGGGTTCAAAAGGAAAAATAATAAATCTAACTCTGTATGCTGTAAACAGAGTGTTCCTTTGCCTCATGTTTGCTCTTCTCCCTCTGATCCAGAGGCATCCCATCCAGCTGGCAGGACAGCTGCACAGCCTGATTGTATTTTGCTAAGAGACATGGAAGCTGCTGGAGTGGAAATGCTGAACAAAATGCAGTTCAGCTCTTTCACTAGGGGTGCTCTCTAGAACATCCTAATCCCTTATATGTGACCAAGAGGTGTTTGTACAGGAAGGGACACTCTCCTACCTTTGCAGGTGTAAAGTGCAGGTGTTTCCTGGTGTCCTGAGACTTGCTTTATATTCAGTAGATGAAGTGGGGACTGGGCATATTGCAGCTTCTTATGGCTCTTATTAGGCAGTACTTGACCTCTCAAGCTCTTAAAGACCAAAAATTCTTGATATTAAACTATAGAGTCATACAATCATAGAATGCTTTGGATTGGAAGGGACCTTAAAGCTCCTCCAGTTCCAACCCTCTGCCACAGGCAGGGACACCTTCGACTAAAGCAGGTTGCTCCAAGCCCCTGTGTCCAACCTGGCCTTGAACACTGCCAGGGATGGGGCAGCCACAGCTTCTCTGGGTACCCTCTTCCAGTGCCTCAGCACCCTCACAGGGAAGAACTATAGAATAATTTATTCATAATATATAATAAAATATGCATCTCATACTTGTTTATAAGCAATTAGACAAAAAATATAATACTGATTCTAGAGGACAGTGTATTTTAGCCAAGCTGTAGGTGACACTGTTGTGTCTGTGGCATATAACTGGTTTGATATTGCTATTGAAAGGTTTGTCCTTGCTTGCTGAAATCTTGCTGATGAAATCCCCTCTAAAATAGATCCTCAGATCACTTGGGAAGGGTCAGTTTCATAACTTACTGACCTGACTTTGTGGAGGGGGTGATAGTTTTTTACTGAAAGAATCTTAAGTAATGCAGAGTTTTATCTAAGCAGTTCAGAAATAACCTCAAGCTTATTATAAATAACTGCACCTCAGTTTGAGTCCTTCCTGTATATTTGTAGGTTGAGCGGTAGCTAATTCTAAACCACCTGCTTCATACAGTGAGTTTGATGTCTACCTGTCCTTTCTCGCCTTTTTTGTTTGCTCTGTGGCAGCCCAGGCCAGGTACCTGGCTCAGAACATGCTATTCAGCATGTTTCTCAGGCTCCCCACCTAGTGCCAAACTCAGACTCTTCTCCCCTGCCAGCTTCTGTTTCATCACAGTGTTTTTCCCTCTGTTCACAGCTCAGTGCTCAGCTGTGCTTCTGCAGAGCATATTGGAGTGTCAGTTGTCTTCTGCAGTGGTGCAGTATACAAACAAGGTAGTTTGCAAGGACTGCACCAGCCCACTGAAGTGTTAGAAAGTGCTTGTGCTTTTGGCTGCACACAGACCTACAGTAGCTTCAAAGCACCTGTATGGATTAATACAACTTCTGTGTGCTGTCTGTAGTGAACTGAATAGTTTGAGACATGAATTATTCCTGAACGCATCCCATCTCGTTCCCACCCTACCTTGCAGATCAGTCAGGCTTTGGGACTTCAGCAGCTTTGGTTTCTACCTGTGTGTCTGGCACCGTGCTGGTAGAACTGGCATCATTTGGGGACTGCTGCAGGGCACCTGAACGTGTGATTTAGTGCTGGGCTGCCTCCCAGTCACACTGCTTTATGCAAACACTGCAGGAGCAAAGGGGCCCTCAGCTTGGGTTCCCTTTGTGTTTTAATGCCAGTGCTTCTACTGTTGTGCTTAGTCAGGTTATCTTGTGCAGAGGAGGAAATGGGCTGCCCTGGGAAGGAATCAGTGTGGTGTTCTTAGGGATTTTTCTCTTAACTCGGAGAAGTTTGGATTTAGGGAAGTTCATTTTGCTGTGTGAGAGATGCTTGAAACCAGGCTGGTGACTTAGAGCTAGAAAGCACTCAGCTCCTCCGCCAGGACAACCCTGTGCAGTCAGCCTCCCCTTGGAGCAACTGAGAAGGATCTCCTCTAGCAACTGGATCTCTCATGGGGTTTGTGGCAGAGAGCTCACTGTGGCAGCTTCTCCCTGTGCTTACAACCAGGACCTCTGAATGAGCAGGAGCAGGCCAGCATCCTGCTACTTTAACCTGATGCCAGACAGTGTAGTCTCAGGCATAAAACAGTTTTCATACTGCTAGTAGATGGGGTCAGCATCTTTTAGGACATGAGACTACGGAGCAACTGTAGTGGTGCACTCTGTGTAGTTTCCTGGATTAGCTTTTTGTCTTTAAAGAGTCAAGATGTGGTGTTTGTAGAGACAGAAACAAGACTTAAGAGAGAGGCAGGATTTATTGCCTTGCAGTAGGCCATTTTATGAGGTGATAACCCCTTGTTCCCTTTCCTAACAGAGAACCTGGACTACAACTCTGAGCCTCGGGAGATCCCTCATCCTGACATCGGCCGCTACTTCTCAGAGTTTACTGGCATTCACTACCTAGCAAATACTGAGCTAGAAATTCGGTACCCAGAGGATCTGGAGCTCACACGTGCTACAGTTCAGAAGATCTACAATTCAGGCAAGGAGTGAATGCAAAAGGCACCATGAGGACAGAAGCAGCTGGAGTGTAGCTTTACCCTCTTTGCAAAACTTGCATGGAAGGCAAGTTTGGTGACAATCCTTTGGCTTAATGCATTGAAAATTGCATTGAACTTTGTTAACTGGTGCTATAGCATCTTTCTGTTGCCTGCCTGCCCATTCTGGCCCAGAGGCACAGGGACACATTGGTAGTTGAGGCCAAGCTTAAGGATCTTGCAGGGACGGTCATGTTGGAAAGCGTGTTGTCCTCTGGAAGGATTTGCACATACTACTTGTTCTGTGATTGTCTTGCCTAGAAGGTCAACTCGGTGAGATCCCTGGTGTGGAATATGGAAGAAGTCACTCTTCCAGGGAAGGAAGTTGCTTGTCCTTGCAGTGATGTGGGTTTTGTTTGGTTGTGTTCTGGGGTTTTTTTAATGTTTTAATCTCATGCAGGTGATAGTTTTTAAAGTCTCTTACGTTTCACTGTTGTCTCCTCCGGTCTGAATTCTTGGTCAGGTTTTGCTCCCCCTCTGTAGTCTGATTGTTCATAGAGCTACCATTCCAATTCTGAATATCCTTATGGGCCTGGGAAAGAGCCCCAGCAACAAAACCAGTAGTAGCTAAGCTTCCAGGGGTGGCCAGAGCCCTGGTGACACTGAGGTCAACTTGGCCACCTTGCTGATGACACAAACTTTCCTAATGCTGAAGATGAGCTTCTAGCCCTTTCCCTTGCCTGCTAAACATATGCAGTCCATGTTCTTGCTTTGGTTTTTGGTCTATTCATCGTTTATGTCCAGGGCAGGATCTGTGGCACAGCTGTGAGTGCTCCCAGGATGATTTTGAATCTCATGGCACTGTTTCATGGAAACCTTGAGGTCAGTCTTTCACCCCTCACTCCAGGAGAGATGGGAAGGAGAATGGAAAGAATGTAACTCCCAGTGTTTGAAGGTCCCACCACCCATTGCTCTCAGTGTAGTTCTTAACAGCCCCTTGTACCGTTGGATTTTCCCAGAGGCTGGTGCATGGTAGGGGATGTGATATACCCACTCAGTGCCATGCTCTTTGGCCCAAATGTCTATAAGGTTATTCCAGAAATGAGTCCCATTGTCTGACTCACTTCTCTCTGGGGTGCCGTGTCGCCACAGGACTTGTTTCTCAAGGCCCAGGATAGTGTCTGGGGCAGTGGCATGGGGCACAGCGTATGTTTCCAGCCACCCGGTGGTTGCTTCCACCATGGGAAGCACATGGCGCTTGCCTTGGCGGGTTGGTGGCAGTGTGATACAGTCAATCTGCCAGGACTCCCCATATTTATACTTCAACCATCGTCCTCCATACCAAAGAGGCTTTAACCCCTTGGCTTGCTTAATTGCAGCACGTTTCACACTCATGAATAACCTGGGCAATAGTGTCCATTGTTAAGTCCACCCCTCGGTCACGGGCCCATCTCTGTTGCATCTCTGCCCTGATGGCCTGAAGTGTCATGGGCCCACCGGGCCAAAAATAATTCACCTTTATGTTGCCAGTCTAACTCCATCTGAGCCACTTCAGTCTTTGCAGCTTTATCCACTTGTTGGTCGTTCTGGTGTTCCTCAGCGGCCTGACTCTTGGGTACATGGGCATTTACGTGGCATACCTTCACCACCAGGTACTGCACCCAGGCAGCAATATCTTGCCACAGCAAGGTGCAGCAGCCTACCTCTGCTCTGCTTCCATTGCTGCAACCACCCCCACAGGGCATTTGCCACCAGCCATGAGTCAGTATAGAGGTAAAGTACTGGCCACTTTTCTCATTCAGCAGTGTCCAAGGCCAGCTGGATGGCTTTCACCTCAGCAAACTCTCAGTTCACCCTCTCCTTCAGCAGTTTCTGCAGCTTGTCATAGGGGACTCCATACAGCTGCCTTCCATCTCCAGTGCTTCCAAAGCACTGGAGGGACCCACTGGACTAGATACTTGCCCATACTCTCCCACACACCCTGCCACTCATGACTGTCCAGCCTCGGGGAAAATCCCTTTGATGTATGGGGAGCTTCCACTTGCTGCCATCTCCAATCTGTAGGTATTCATGCAATACAGTGGGATTGTGACTGGAAACTGGCCAGCCCTGGAGTCAGCCAGACTGTGTATGAAAGAGAGATGTGAATTCCTGCAGCTTGAGGCCTTCTTCCTTTTTGCCAAAAGAGGATGGATTTGGGGGGAGTGCACACTCTGCTGCCCAGAAGGGAAGAGCTTCAGCAGCTCAAGGCACATGAATTTTAACATGACTTAAAGCTCCAGACAAAACCACTGCAGAAAAGGTTTTCCTCTGGGATTAGGTATTACAGGGGTACAGAGTGACACAGTGTCTGTGCATACACAGAACCTTCATGTCTGTGGTTTCTGAAGCAATGTCTATAGACTAACTGCAGTTAGTGTCTCCTGTCACTGTCCACTTGCAGTACAGTAGTTATCTCAAAGATGAGAATTAGGTACTGTGCCCTGTAGAGTTAGGTGGATGCTCTATTATAGCACTTCAGGTATCCCCACATTAAATCCCACAGCCCTCCTCTTAAAAGAATGCTTGAACTGCATGCCATCCTATTGGAATATTAAGCACTGATTAATATGAGAAATAAATGTTGAAAGCCCAGCACTTTTGCCAGTGGAGTGGTGGTGGTGTGCAGGATCTTGGTGCTTTAGGAAGAACAGCCCTGTGTGGGTAGTGCTGAGGAATGGTGAAGGTGCTGTACTCGAAGTAGGTATTTGTGTTTAAAGATGTCTGTACTGGGATGAACTTGGAGGGAGGGAGGAAGGAAGGGACTAAAGAATTCAATGGAAGGAGGATGGACCCAGCTGAAAGCCAGGTAGGAGTCATTAGGCAGAATCATAAAATCCATCTCTTGGTGGCCCCCAGCCCTCCAACCCTAGTTGAGGTTTGAAAACAGAATCCTGGCAGGGATGCAAGGCTGGGAATGGGACCTTGGAGTCACAAGGTTGATGCTGGTAGCTGAAAACAGGCATGCAGGAGCAGGGCTTGGGCTCCCCATTCCCAGCCTCAGCTTTGAGGTTTGCTCTGTAACAGCATAGATATTGGTGAGCTTCCTGAGGCTTTCTACTCCTCTCTGCCAAACAGGCAGTCTGCCACCTTGCCCCCCTCAAGTGCATCAAGAGGATTGCCACATACTGAGCTCACAGGAGTCCTTAGCAAAAGAGGCTGCATCAACAGAAAGCTACCCAGAGTTGCTCTGAAAACTGGTACTGGACGATGCACATGTAACCCGCTTGTAAACGTGCTGTGTGCTTTAGGATGTGGGTCCCAGTGTACAACAGACCCCATTATACCCACCTTGCTGGGGCCACTCTAGGTTTATATCATGGAAAGAGTCTGAACAAGGAGGAAACGTGGGAACTGCTCTTCATGAGGTTCTCCCAGTCTTCCCCCACCCACAGACTTTAGCCATTTCCAGTTTTGCATGGGGTGCGAGAGGAGAGTGTCACAGTAGAGGACAGGCACAGGGAAGCCAGCAGCCTGTAAGTGAAGTCTCTCATCCCTTCAGCAATGTTTTACAGGTCTGCCTGCCTGCTTTGCCACACAGACCACGTCAGTGCCAACACAGCCTTGTATGTGCCAAATTCAGAGGAGACTGGAGGAGCTGCAATAGGCACCACACAACATGAGCACAGGGTCCCAGGCCAATTCTGGGATCCAGACAAAACCAAAGGAAGTGGTGTGTAAAGGCTCCCCTTTCTGTTCCTGTTTGCTCAGGCATGCCAGCCACCTCCTATGGTGCTGCTTGTGGGGTAGACTGTGTTGCATGCTACAGGCTGAGTCTTGACAAGGAGGAATTCCCATGTAAGTATTTATTGGCAGCTGTCGGGGACCCCAGCCCAAGGATCCAGTGTGGCCAAGGAAAAAGAGCCACAAGGATACCTCTCTATCCCTGCTTGAGAACATCTTGAAATGCACTTCAGTTCCCATGGGCTGAGCATCCGAGGTCCAGCACTGCTGGGTGACGCCTCTTTGGGTTGGTGGAGGTCACATTAGGTGTTTGCTCTTCTGTCCCTCCTTCCCTGGCAGCACAGGCATCTTTGCAGTCACCATTTCCCCAGGAAAACAGTGGATCCTGGAAGTTCCTTGTGTCTGTGAGTAATGTCTGGGTCCTTGTGGATGTACGTATGTTGAAGATGGTGCACGTGTTTTGTGATCTGTCATGTCTGTGCAGAGCTCATTTGGGGAGAAGGGATACTTTGCTTTCTGGAGAAGGTGGAATTGCCCTTCTCTTGTCTGACTTGACCTGCCACCATCTCACCAGGCAGAAAGCCTGGCCAGGTTGGTCTGGTGCAGTACCAAAGTCCTCTGGTCCTGAGTCTCCTGGAGACAGGGGTGAATTTCCCACAGCATGGAGCACCATGCAGATGGAGAATGCCTTTCCATCTTCTCCCTTTTCTTTCTGAGTCCTGGGGACAGGACAGCTAGGGTGCTATCATGTTAAAATGGTTTTCAGGAGGGTGAAGGAGAGATGTATGGAGAGGATGAAAGTAGGCTGGGATGGGGTAGGAAGCAGGTAGTAATTGTTGTCTGGATCGTCAGGACAGTGGCACAGAGAGCTGAGGCAGTGGTGCCACTGGATTTTGGGGGCTTGGGAATGTCATACAGTTGGTGCCATTCCCAGATCTCCTCCAGCAAGGGCTGTGGGCAGTAGCCTCCTGGGGCAGGTTTGTTGTCCCTCCCAGGGCACTGTCTTGGTGTGCTGCTGCTTGTGAGAGGGGCTGAAGAGCTGCTCAGGGCCCTGTTCCCGGGGGCAGGGGAAGGTGCAGCTGATGGTGCCCCATCCTTTTGGGATCCATCCTGACCCATGGGGCTGGTGAGGACGCACTACAGCGGAACCCAACAGCCCCCAGAGCTGAGGCCATGCAGAGAGCGTGGCCTCTGTGCCAAACGTACCAGTTTGTCCCCAGCCTTTACAGCAAAACCAGAGCCCCCAGCACCTGCACCGCAGCCACGGAGAGCTGCACCCACTGGGGCTCTGCTGCCGTGTGCAGGAGGGTGAGGGCAGGAAAGGACTGCTGGGGGTTGGAGGAGAGCCCCTGGCGATCTTCTGATCCCTCCCAGGCCAACTTCACGTTCACGTTGGGTTGCTCAGGGAATTGTCCTGACCCTCAGAGCGGGTTCTGAGCATCCCTGATGGGTGTCACAGCTCCATGGGCCCTACCTGCCTGGCTTGTGGCTCTTCCCCAACATCCGGACCCAGGGCCTGCCCGTGTAGGCAGGGATGGAGTGGTGCATTCGTTACCCCTCTCTCCTACCCTGCTCCTTTCAGCTGGAGATGCCTGGGCTGGGCATGGAGACACATTAGATGAAGAACTGCTGCCCCGCACCTGAAGGGGGAGGGCTCCTGAGCCCCAGGGTCCTCCTGACCCTGCTGAGGTTGCAGCCTGGGGCCATCTCCCCTTTCTCCTTTATTTATTTTCTAAAGAAGCAGGTATTTTGTTTGCTCTGGGGCAG